TTGTTCTTTAGATCAATCCTTGTTTGGCTAATTGAGAAGACGTAAACAATGATTTGAAAGAATCTTTGTTATTAACGCACCTATAAAAACATCTACAAAAACAAGTTCCATTATGGAACTCTAAGTCATAAGGCCTATTTAAAGCTGTACGTTGAGTAAACTCCTAAAACACAGCCCCACTACAAAACACCTGAAAATAATGACAATTTTTAAAAACATTTTTTTAATGCATAGCTGAATTAGCAAAAAAAGTAAATTCTTAAAAGCCAAAAATGAAGGCAAAGTATGAGAAGGACAGAGCACTGAGACTCGTGGCTGTTAACAGAGATGTAGAGGTTATAGTCCTGCTCAGGAGGCAAGCCGAGGCCCAGTGGCCTGTGGAGATTCACTTACTGTGCCCTAGGTAAGTTTCCCCCTTCTTCCTCACCAAGTACAGGTTTTTGCCAAGACATTCCCCCGCCCTACGTGCAGCTATGTGACTAGGTACTGCCAATGTGGTATGAGCAGAAGTATGCAACTGCTGGCTCATACTGCCAAAAGAAAGGTATCCTCTTCAATCCTTCTTCCCACGAGCTGGAAGGCAAATACAGGTTGAGAATCCCGAACTTCAGATGCTCCAAAATCTGAAACTTGAGTGCCAACATGAAACCACAAATGGAAAATTCCACATCTGACCTCATGTGATGGGCCAGACAATACTTTATTTCACACATAAAATTATTTAAAATATTGTATATTACCCCCAGAGCATGTGTACAAAAAACATAAATTTCATGTTTAAACTTTGATCCCCTCCCCAAGATGTCATTATGTATATGAAAATATTCCAAAATCTGAAACACTTCTTGTCCCAAGCATGGTAAGGGATACAAACTTCCTCTGGAGGGTGAAATATAAGTGTCTTTTATTTTGAACCCCTTTATGTTGTTCAAATTTGAGATTTTAAATTAAATACATGGCTATTTAAACTTGTAAATACTTCATAAACTATATTCATATTTATTCCTCAAAGCCAGCTATTTTCTTGATTGCCTCAGGTTAATTTCTCCTCACCTACTTGAGAACTTTTCATGTATCACTTAAGAAAATCCACTTTAGATCATTAAATTATGTAAAGTTGAAAGCCTACAGACTCTACATAGACTGCCTGGGTTTGAATCCTGGCCCATTTGCTGGCTAGTTGAGTGGTGACTATTTTTAACAACTGTGCCTGTTTTCTTGCCTGAAAAAAAAGGACCACGAGTACCCAGCTCACAAGATTGAGGACTAACTATGTATGGCAGGTCGCAAGAGCAGATCCCAGCCCCTACTTAGCACTGTTAGCTATTATTGAGTATAGACAATATCCTACCCATACTTATTAATATATATTCCTAAATTTCCAGCAGTGGATCACACAAATTATTAAAGAATGCTTACTGAATTAAACTGACTTGCTACCCAAGGGTTTAAGAGGGGTAGTCATAAGAAATGAGTTCCCCCCAAGTTAATTCTACAGCACACTTGTCAGCAATGAAAGCTTTGTGAGCCTGGTAGGTTTTTTGTTCCTATTAGCTGACAAATCGACTAGGTAGAAAAAACAAATACATTCTATGAATGAATGGGAAAAAGGCAAAAACACATTCTGGGCCATTATCAATTTTTCCATTAATCCCTACTCTCTTTTATGTTGTGGCCTCTCATTCTTGCCTGTTTCCATGATTCTCTTGAGCTTTTTAAAGGGCTAGTTGCTTATTTGAACCAGCAAGTCTCACTTGGTCTGAGCATGTGGTGCTCTTTTGAGTGACAGGGGAGTCATATAAGCCTTCCAGGAAAGGTTTTCTTGTTAAACTTTGTCAGTTCCTAAAATAGTCAAAATTGCTCTGCTTACCTTTTCCAAGGTGGACACACCCCCACCTTCCTCCCCACATTGCCCAGTTGCTGGGATGATGCTTTTTTCCATAAACCTCTTCATAGGAAACCAGCAGGAAAAGGTCAAAGATGGACTGCACAAGTCTGGCTCGTGCTTCTTCGTAACACTCTTTATACCATAGAAATTATTCTCTCTCCTTTTAAATCCCATAGACCTAGGTACTTACCTTAATTTGCCCTGATCTACAGTCTATTACATACTTGTAGTTTCCCCCATATGATCTGTGTAATCACATTACTTTCTGTGCCTCTCAGTTAGTCATGAAAATCAGCACACTATTCCTGTATCAGACAGGCAGTAAAATATTGTGCTTTAGAAGTAAACAGATCTGGGTTTAAACCCTTGACCTATGACTTAGCTCTGTGACCTCAAATAAGTGGCTTAACCTTAGCCTCAGTTTCTTCATCTATAAATTGGGTATTTCTGCTTTACCTGGTAATATTCAGATTAAACAAGGTCAAGTATACAAAGTACTGAGAGTGGTACCCAGGAGAGACTATGCAACCAATAAATGAGGATTTGATGTAGCAGGCAAAGAGGACTTTGTGACTGAGATTAGTTAGGTCTGCCAGTTCAGACTTCCCAGGAAACTGGCTCATGTTAGCAAGTCCCAGAATCCTGTGACTGAATAAGCCTGTCTCGGTGTGTGCTTCAAAAAGTGTGGCAAAGCCAGCATTATTCACAGAAAAAGTAGGACATTAACTCGGGTTTACTATATTATCGTCAGAAAGGACAGTTGAATTAACTGGTTATAATAATGTAAATGACCTCATACCTACTACAGGATACACATTTGCACTCAGAAATAAAATCAAGATGGTTAGTAAAAGTAATCAAACAAGAATCTAATAAAAACTGCTAAAAGGATAAAACACCCAGCAAATGCACATATCATGCTGTGCAGATTGTTGTCAATTTTCCCCAGGACATATTATTTGTGTAAATCCAATAAAACTCTGAACAGAATTTTTTAAAGAAAAATCAAACTCAATAAAATAGAGACTAAAGTTCATCTTAAAGACTAAGTGTCCTAGAATAGCCTCCCCACACAAAAACAAACAAAAAGGATAAGATAAAGCAGCTTGCAATCAGGTACGCAAATGAAACATCTGGCTACAATGATTAATGCAGTGGGGTACCGGTGCAGGAATAGCCAATGCGTGTAAAGTGTCAGGGGTTACACTATCCAAACACTTTAAATTTGATTCTATTATTAATATAACCACCCCTGTATATCATCCTCATTTTCCAGATAAAGCTGAAGTATAGAAAAGTTAAGTAACTTGCTCAAGATCACACATGGTCAAGGCAAGATTCTGAATGCAGCTGACCAGATTATCTATGGAAGTCCTACAAATCATTAAGAAAAAACCCTAATTTGGTACACAAATGGACAAACAATAAGCAATTACACTAACGTACAAATAGCTGATATTAAAAAGTTTGACATCACAAACTTATAATTAGGATTACAATTAACTAGGATCACAAAGAATACTAGAAGTCGATATACCTGCTGGTAGGAGTATGTATTTGTATGGCATTTTTGGAGGCAATGTGACATTAAAACATATAATTTATGACTTTTCAGCAGTTCTTTTCCAGAATCAACCCCAAAGAAACATTAAACATAAGCACATAAAGTCATGTACAAGGATATTCACTCCAACTTTTTCTGTCAAATTGAAATAGTAAAATAAACCTAACTATCCATCAACAGAGAATAGTCAGTGTGGTATAGGTGTGTATACACACAGACACACACACACGATGGAATACTACACAGCCATTAAAAAGGAATGAATCGGCTGGGCACGGTGGCTCACACCTGTAACCTCAGCACTTTGGGAGGCCAAGGCAGGAGGATCACCTGAGGTCAGGAGTTCAAGACCAGGCTGGCCAACATGGTAAAACCCCATCTCTACCAAAACAAAAATTAGCCAGGCGTAATCACACCTGTAATCCCAGGTACTCAGGAGGCTGAGAGAGGACTGCTTGAACCCAGGAGGCAGAGGCTGCAGTGACCCAAGATGGTGTCAGCCTGGGTAAAAAGAGTTAAACTCCATCTCAACAACAAAAGGAATGAATTAATGGCATCTGCAGTACCTGGATGTGACTGCAGACCACTATTCTAAGGGAAGAAACTCAGGAATGGAAAACCAAACATCCTATGTTCTCTCTCATAAGTAGAAGCTAAGCTGTGAGGATACACCGGCATTAAGAACGATGTAATGGTATGGGAACTTAGGAGGGAAGGGATGGAAAGGCGGTGAGGGATAAAAACTAAGTGTATACTGCTCAGGTGATGGCTGGATCAAAATCTCAAAAATCACCACTAAAGAACTTACTCATGTAACCTCTGCAGGAATTCAATGCGGACGTCCAAGAAAGAAAGAAAAAAAAAAAAAAAGGAACTTACTCATGTAACCAAATACCACCTGTTCCCCAAAAACCTATGGAAATAAAAAAAAAATTTTAAAGAATTCCATTTCCTAAAAAAAACCCCACAAAAACAAAACAGAGAAGAGTTGGAACAGATCATTGTACACCCATTCTATGGGACAGTATGCAAAAAGTAAATCTATATGGACACAGAAAGATGCTGATAATATACCAACAGAAGGGAAAAAGAACAAGTCCAGAACACAGACTTTTTAATCTATTTGTTAAAAAAGTAGAGGGATCTAAGAGAATAAAATGTGAGAAAAAATCAGAGAGAATACAAAAGAAAAAGAGAAGTAGCATTTATATACACCTGGGGACACATTTAAAAGGGTCTACAAGGATACACATCAAACCATTAGGGAATGGAGTGGAATTAGGGCCTAAAAGTTCAAGGCGACTTTTCCTTTTTTACTCAGTATTCTTATTTATAAATAAAAATGTTTATGCTTTTTGTCATTTTGAGAAGACAAAAGCAAGGGACAAATAATTTTCTATCTTACGTTCAGTCTTCTGTTTAGAAAAGAGCAAGATGTATAAACCAATGAAGAGAATACATTAAAACCCAACCAGAGAATAAAACAGCAATAATAAGAAAATTACATATTAAGAACAGTTACTGACACCTATAAAGAATCAAAGCAACTGACACAATAAATTTTATTGTTTCCATAATAATAGGCTCTGGACAAAGACAATGGAGACAATGACAACACATTTAAACTCCTATAACAAATTAATGTTACAAATTTCCAGTGGTTCAACATATTAAAATGCAAAATATATAAAGAAAAAAACAAGAAATATAAATATTCAGATTTTTGCAGTACAATGAAATGTCTCTTAAAAAAAAGTTTGTTGTAATTGTGTAATAATTCTGACAATAATTCAAAACACAAAATCACACCATTTCCCTAACTTCCCATGATCTGAATCTGGGGATTGCAATATCACAGAAATATGCAAAAATAAGTTTAGTGCTCAGAGATAAATAATTTTCCTTATCTCAATGCATCAGTGTGCAAAAATTTCAATTCAAAAAGCCCATCACTGCTATATGCAGATAAATAAAACAGATTTGACAACGCTTTTATAATCAAACCCAACTAACACTATGCTAAAATTATGTGTGTGTGTGCACATGCATGTGCATGTGTGTGTATGCAATGCATTTTAGAAAAAAGATGTCTTGGTGAAAGTGAGTTTGAAAATAGTCACTGATACATTATGTACAAAACCTTTTATATAAAAAATTAAACTATTTTCAATGAAATTCCATGTTCACATTCTATCTGAAAACTGTAATTCAATCATAAATAGGTCTACTAATGGTTTCTCTCTGATATCATGGCTAAGGCAGTTCTCTTTCCAAGGGTTTTCTTTTATATCCACTTGATGTCACTAATATTAATGTAGTCAAATATACAGATGTAACCTGACATGCCTATGTGTTATTACCTGGAGCTCTGTTCACTGTTATAATGGGATAATGTACAGTTGCTACAAAGAATATTTTTCTTTTTTAAAATATACTGGTTTCTGTATTCCAAATTAAGCACTTACTTAAGACATTAAGAGGCTGAGAAGCCACTCCATTTGGTGTCAATATCAATAGCCCTATAAGAAAGAACTCTGTATTGGAATATCTAGAAAAGTTCTCACTAAAGAACTTCAGTGCATCCTTCACCTGCATAGAATCCATTTGGCTAATAGCTCTTTGCCCCAGAACACCAGTCTGGAGTTCAAATATGCTCCTGAAAGTTCATCTCTGATAAGAAAAAAACAACTCACAGAAGCAATATAAGGACACACAGGATAATAAAACTGTTAAAATCTTTTTGATGAGTCTTACAGCATTCCGTCTGGAGGAGCTGCTAAAGGTTAAGGTAGAAACAAAAAACGGAAAAGACCAGGGGCAATAAAGTAGAGTAGGCCAAACATTTACACCAATAACCATTTCACAAGTCTTTAAGCAAACAACTGCAATGACCTGTTACCTCTAGCTCATCATTCTACAAGCACTGAGAATATGAAGCTTAAAACGTGAAAACTTGAATACCTTAGATAAAGGGAACAGTCTGAGGCAAAGTTGTAGGCCTGCAAATATATTTTTTATTTTATTTTATTTTTTGAGATGGAGTCTTGCTCTGTCACCCAGGTGGGACTGCAAATGGCACAATCTCGGTTCACTGCAACCTCCACCTCTCAAGTTCAAGCAATTCTCCTGCCTTAGCCTCCCAAGTAGCTGGGATTGCAAGCACGCACCACCACACCTGGCTAATTTTTATATTTTTAGTAGAGACAGGGTTTCACCACGTTAGTCAGGCTGGTCTCAAACTCCTGACCTCAGGTGATCCACCCACCTCAGCCTCCCAAAATGCTGGGATTACAGGCGTGAGCCACTACGCCCGGCATAAATATATATTTTATATGCACACACAACTGTGTGTATTATTCTGTATATATTTACATACATATTCACAAGATGCCCTGCAGTGTAATTCAAAAGGCCTTTATCAAGGAACAAATTGATTCTAGTATAGGCCCTAGAGTTCACACCATCTGTATAAGAAACAAATGTGCATGTATTCACGTAATGTAAACCTTATCAACAAAAACACTGCTATTAACACTAAGTTAAATAGTAAGTTTTAGGTTAACGGTTTCTAACCATTATCAATCAGCAACGTAATCAGAACATTTCTTACACTGAGAATCAAAAAGAAAACACAACCGGATTTTAAATTCACAGGAAAAAAGATGTTCAGTATGGCAAACATGAAGAAAGTTCAAATTTCAGAGTAGGGAAAAATATCAAAACTTTATAAATCTCCTGGGATGCAATTTAATTACTGCATCATTAGAAAAATAGACTCAGAATGAATGGTGCTGCTATGGATTCTCTCAACACATCAACTCATGTTTATCTTTTTCCTCTTTTGTTTCCAGCTGGAGGTTTCTTCAACTGAAGGAGTTGTCCTCCTGTTCCAAAACCTGCAGAGGCAGGATTGGACACCCCAAAAGTCAAACCAGCTGATGCCGTGATGCCAGGATTGCTGAAGTTAAACCCAGATGTACTTGAGCTGCCAAAGCCTTATGTTTAGGGAAAAAAATATTCATATCAGAAGTTGAATTCCAAAAACAAATATAAAAAACAGGGAGGAGCAGTAAATTTCTGAAAGAATACATAATCTATAAGAACAGCAAATATCTTAAAGCCCTAAATTTCTAACATAAAATTTTAACAGGAAAATAATTTAGCTAACAACTAAGTGGCACCTTGAAAGAAAGTTCAGTGATGCAGGCCAAAAGAGAAATTAGCACAAATAACTAAAATCTATAGAAACTTCAAGTTGCCAGAAACTTTCCTGTTAATTAAATATGTCAAGGTGCCTTTCTCCTTAGCCCCACCAAAAACATTTTATCAACATGTAGAAGAGGGACATTCACATATCTGGACCTACCCTTGCAATCCCAATTCTTTCAGGAAAGCCTCAACCAGCAATGTTCAGGACAACAAATACACACAAGAGTAGTACTTACTGTTTTGATAAGAGCTTTTGCAAAATTAAGATCTAGTGCTACAACTGCCTAGTTAACTAATATAATATTTCAATTATAATCCTGATAACATGGAATCTTATTATCTTCCTCCAACTGGAACTGCTGATTTTAAACACTACTTATATTAAGCAGAATTTCCTTAAAATTCTGTAAATTTAAACACATCTTTCACAGTATTATGTCATTATGTTAGATATAGTATTTGTCCCTAAGCACTGCACATTAAAACAAGACATATTTACCAATATAGAGTAAATGCAAAAGTAAATGGAATTTGGAACTTTTCATTAAGAGTCAAAAATTAGACCTATTTCAAAAATAAACAAGAAACTAAATTAATCATCACTTGTAAGACTGTGGTATTCTTAAAACCAGAGGGACTCTGAAATGGAAATCATTCTCCTGGATGAATAACGATAAAAAACTTGGTTAAACTTTCACAATGATGGGTTCCTTTTTGCAATAATGAAGAAAATTATTTAACCATGAAGTTAGTCACTAGGGTTCAAATGAATCTCTGCTTAGTTAGAAGATATAATTACTTATCAAATCAAACTAAGAAGTCTTGTTAGAAACATTTTACAAACCTGGCCTTTAGTTTATGAGAGAGATAAAGCAAAACGATTAGTTATAGGCTTGCACACTTCATCTAGAAAGCAAAAACTGAATCAGAGAGGGAACTTTTGGGTTACTGGAAATAACAACACATACTTTTAAATAATTTGCATCTTTAAATTTGCCTGAAATCCAGGCAGAAACACACAAACCTGCACTAAGACTTCCTGAGGGTTTATTTGTTGTTCCAAATCCAAATGTGGAGGCCCCTGTGGTGCTGCATCCAAAACCAGAGCTAGTTCCAAATCCTAGTGGAAGGGTAATAGAGAAATATACAATGGCACATAAAACACAGGTTAAAGGATACGGACAAGTACAACCGAAAATCATCAGAGGTCTAATAGACACAGTGTTGAAAAACATGGCCTTATTAAGGAAATCTATTTACTCCTTTGCATGACACTTTTAGAAGAACCAGACTAACTCTGAAATAAAACGTTTATGTCTATTTAGACTAAGTTTGTAACTCATCAATAATTTTTAAAGAAGAAAGAAAAGAAAATATTAGTATTTTTCTCTTTTAAACGTGCTAGAAAATTTTACCCACCATTCAAGTATGATTTTAGTCAGTTATAAACATTTCTACTTTAGGGGTATTTCATTTCACAAAAAAAGGACTAAATATATTAATAAGCATGACATGCACAACAATGTGAATATTAAATACCACAAGGTTATTTTACTCTACTCTTTTCCAAAACATTTTTATTTAAGAATCTGTACTGCTGAAAACTGCACTACACAGTCAAGCACTTTAAATCTACTCAGTAACAGTAGACTCCTGCCATACTACCAGCCAATGTAACAGTGAAAAATTGGTGGTGAAATCATGCTTTTTCTCTTAGCAATACTATCTGCATAATTTTAAAAAAGGAAGTATTTTTCATCACACAAAGGTCATGACATTCTAAGTACTTGAAGACTAGTTTCAATTCTCCTAAGAGCCAGGTGCTCTACTAATAAAGTTCAAATTCTTTTTCAGTTACTTTGCAAAAGCTTATCTAAAATGTTGAGTGTGACAGTATCATTGCCTGTAATAGTAAGAAATGTGATGGCAAATTATGTAGATTATAGGAATTATGCTGTCTGCCATGATTCTAATAATACCTAGTTTGGAACAGAGTCTATATTAAACAACCATACTAGCTTACAAGTTTCCCATCTTATATTTTAGTGGAAATAAGGGCAACTTATTCATTACATTATAACGTGCCTGTGAATATACAACCAACTTTCGGTTATCCATACCAAATTGTGAATGCATTTGTATTAAGTATGATGTTTTTGCAGAGGACTTACCTTACTAAACTTATTAAAGTATTAAAATAAGCTTAATTGCTTATGTAAACAAGTATGTATATAGGCAAATCTGCCAAACATGCTTAGAAATGGACATGAGTTGAGCTGTTCCATTCATAATAATTTCCCTAAGTTCTCATTTTCAAAAAAAGAAGATTCTGATTAGGAGAATGTATATCACCCAGAAGTAGTTCGGACTCCAAACTAACATTAAGACAACTAATTTTAAGATTTTTAATTAAAATTATTAAAACTAAAGAATTCTCAAGTTCATGTGTCGGCATATTGCTTTGAAAACATGAACATACCTACCACTTAATTTTAATACTCTATATTTACTATTCACAGAAGATGGAACGATTCTTTAAGTTCTAAATCTAATATTAGAAAGCAATGATTACGTTTAGAGAATCGTTTCTGCCAGATGGAACCTTAACTTCCAAAATAGCAGCAGATCCTCTTAGAAATTTTTTGTTTTACAGGCTAGTATCAATTCAAATATAGAATACTTCAATGAAATATTAGAAAAGTTAAAGTGTACCTCCAAGGTTTGAAGAACCTAAGCCACTTGATTGCAAGCCAGTGCCAATACCTGAGCCGAATGGCGTTCCAAAACTAACTCCCAGAGATGGCTGTGGCCCTGGTATAAAAAAAAAATGGGGGGGGAAACAAATTTGCCTTACTCTTTCAAGATTCAAGTTTATTTATGAAATTTAAAAAAAAATGAACAGTATTACTTTTAACTGATTCCATTTGTCAAAACTTAGTTTTCAGGATGTCCCTCCAGTCTAACTTACCTATCCAAACTGATTTACCTATCTAAAAATTAAAAAAATATTTTAAAAAATTAACCTGTTCAGAACTAGACAATTAAAAGAGGCTTACCACAATGAAAGAAGTTAGTTTAACCTACTAAATAATTTGAAATCTTTAATGTAACATAAATTATCGTTCCTTTAGATTTACTTCTAGAATTATTTTAGATCTCCTCACTTGTTTTCTGATAAGTCTAGTAGGTATCATCAGTAAGCGGTTTTTACTTTTTGTTTAAATCAAGCTCCTTAGAGTCAAGTCTCAATTGATCAAGAGAGACTAACACTAACATGGCAAAACTATCATGTTACTTCATAAGAGTCAGTACCCAAAAAACTAGGCATGATTTCTTATATGAAATATAAATGATATATACAATAGATAAAAAAACAAGACAATGTTTTATTTTATTAAATTTATTGTTCATCGTAAAGCAAATCAATTACACAGTAACATGACAATTCCAACTTGTTCACAAAATGTGATAATTGAGTTCTATTCTTAAGCTCTGCTACATTACACCACTTATCACCTGATTAAATAAGATAATGAACATTTACAAAGGCACCGCTGTGTACCTTGACAGATTCAATACATTCAAGATTTCAATTCAGAAGTTTCTTTCCAACATTTTGGAATATGTACTCAGAAGCAGAACGATTAGTCATCCTTTTCCCACTTGTTACTTTAAAGATTTTGGCTGAGTTTGTTTGGCAAGAATAGCATCAAACTTACTAGCCTCTCTTTTAAACTACTATTTTTTTTTTTTTTAACTAAGCAGAATACAAAAATCTAAAAATCTCTCATTTGGATAAATAATTTATGAAAATTATTCAATAAATTTCATAGTACAATCTTCAGTACTGTCTTTTTCAAGCACAGTGATCAGTGCATCTCAAAGTTGAGGGAACTGTCAAAGTAATATACAATTAAAATTTAAATTTTTAAAGAAATCAATGCCTTCAAGTTGTCCAATGAAGAATGAGGTTTGTATATTAAAAAGGTAGTGTAAAATTATAAAGCATTTAAAGAAAAACAACTGAGGAACTAACTACATTTTGCTACACTGGGACAGAAACTGGATTTTTCGAATAGCTTCTACCCAGAAAATAAAGAATAACAACTAATAGCAGCCAAAATTCTTATACTATAATTAAAAAAAATAATTTAAAATCTTACATCCAGTTTGAGATCAATTTGAGAATAAAATACCTGCCTAGCAGCTCTTTTGTAAAATGTTACTATAGGAAAAAGAAACCAAGCATATTTTTATACTTTCTAATTCCTAACAAAAATAATACATAAAAAACACATGTCCAGTTTCTTTAACATTGAGAGACTTGCATGTCAAATGTTAATAGGAGGCACTGCTGGTGGAAGACCCTAAAGAATGCACACCACAGCCCTCAGCCTTGTAAGTCCTAAGAGTGACTCAAATAGCATGCTTTTTGTTGTGTGTGGGTCTACCGTTAAGCGCAACAGAACATAAGGTTTTTCTAATCATCAATATTCAGAATATAGGTAATCAAGAACTTATCTAACGATGACAAGACTTTCCATTGCACATCAGATACATATTTTTAGTTTTGTACCTTCACACAAATTCTGAAGGCAACATCATTTATAAAACTCGAAGGCAAATGTATAACATTTTTTTAATAGTAAAAACTCATGATAAATATCTCCCATGCCAAAGTATCAGCATATATTACACTCTGGCCACCATATATATTATTTTCACTATTAGAAAGCAGAGTCTAAATCCTTCAGGCAAAAGTTATGTAAACAATTCAAGAAGTCTGCTTTGAAATTTGAATAGTCATTCAATGAAAGGTTCTTAGTTCCATAAATAAAATTAAGTTAGTAGTGATATATACCAATGACTGCCCAAAGTGAAATCTTCATGTAGAGTAACATTTTACAAAAGTTACCATACAATATATTCACACACAACAAAACCAGGTTTAGCACTGTAATTCATATTTTCCAGAATAAATTCTACTTTCTTAAAAGTAAAACTGCATTAACAGAAAAAGGACTAAAGTGCTAAAAATATTTGATAATTTTCCATGATCACTCAAAATGCCTAATGTAATTAGTATGGTTATTTCTAAGTCACATTTTAAAATAATTTATCTTTAAATAAACCTAAAATGCCTTTTCCCCAGCTTGAAAATTTTACTCTTACTGATTTAATGGGGAATGTTCCTTTGGTTATTAAATGCAACAAAATCACAAAACAAGAAACTAAGATGAAATACTTAAAGTTTCCTATTTAACACTACACGTTAAATGTCCAAACCTATACTAAGCTAAAAAGTAGAAATTTCTAACAAAACGTCTTGGCTCTCCTTAAAACAGCAGCTAAGTCACTTAAGAAAAGTCTTACTATGTAAACATCAAGAACTCTTAAAAGTGTCAAAACACAACAGCAAAACTCAATCCCAGGTACATTGCTTAAAAACCTATCCTAAATTAAAATTATACTGAAAAGCCTAATGTAAAGTCTTCAGTTTTTCGGGAGGCTTGTAAAGCACTTATAAAAGTGTCAAGTTCTGCCAACATGAAACTACATCATCCACGTATTGATGCTCATAATTTCATACACAAATAGCCTGCTGAATTTTCATCAATTCTGTGCAGGCTTCAGAAGAAATAACCATAAAATTACACATGCCTGAGCCCTAGTATATAGATTTTTTCATTAAAAAAGAATTGAAGAAGGACAAAGAAGTCATTTAAGTCTATTCCTCCTCCTTGGAGAAAGACACAGAAGCCACCTACAGAAGGCAGCAGTCTAAGAAGCTATTTGCCCATATTCATGTTAATAAAAAAATCCATAAGCAAAATAAAAGCAAAACCCCTCTGATAACTCAAATCTTGTATATATCAACAATGATGTATAAAAACAATGCATAAGCTCAAACTACCTTCATCTAGATAGTCTAAAATTTGTTATTGGCACTTAAAAAAAATGATTTCACAAAAGTCACAGGGAATAAGGAATAACTTACTAGTACAAAACACTATTCAATAAATAGGGACATTTCTAAATGTATCTAGCAGAGCCCATAAATCTCACATCATGGTGACATAACTAAAATAACTAAAATTTTGACTGGGAAGGCCTGGAAAACCTTTAGAGAAACAAAAGGAAAAAGAAAAGATAATGTAAAATTATTATCACTATTGTTTAGCTTCTCAGTTCTAAGAATTCATAAAATTCAAAGTGAAAACACTGTAAGGTTGCTTAGGTTAATAAATTATAATTTCTGCCATCTGATTAGAAAGCCCTTACATGGACTTCAAAATTTCAGGGAAGACTGAAAGCAGTCAATTTCCCCAAAGCCTGGCAAAAGACAAAAGTAAAGCCTATGAACAAAAGGCTCCGCAAGATTACTCCAAATGAAACTAACATTCTCAACCACCACAGAGGGCAAAGACAAAATCTATATTGTCCACCTTTGTATTTCTGAGCCCAGCACATAGTAGGCACTCATTTAGAGAATGAACACACATCTCCATATGTCCATGAGCTCAAAATGCATAAATGAAAACCTACGAATTTCTCAAGATAATACTGTCCAGATAAGTTACACACACACACACACACACACACACACACACACCCCTTTGACAGGAGGTTTTGCTTCAAGTTTAGAAATTTATCATAGAATATATTCACTTACAACATAACTTTTTATATAACTGACACTTCTCAAGTTTTATTTATCAGAATGGAAATTCACTATGCTTAAAGAACACTTAACCAAATCTACACTTACCTACTTTAGGATTAATACTGGTCTAAAAAGTGTACTAGTACTGTTTGATGTGATTAGTTAAATAATCATGAGAGCTGATGGTCATAATTTTGGTTGGGATTGATTCTTTTAAAGAAGAAATCATCAATCCTCAAATGAATCAATCCCATAATGACTTTTTCCCTCCATAACTTGAGAATGCAATCCTACACTCCAGCCAGCTAGAGAGCTACCAGACAGCGCTCATGCAAGCCACTATTCACATGGGTCCAGCCACCACTAATATGGAGAATTTGGCTTACGCCAAATCTTTCATCAACCCTTTACTTATGGCAAGTCAATTCTGTCATCTCCAAATGTGAAGAACAATTTTTTAAACTGCCAATAGTGAAAACCAGAGAATGCTTCCCTAACATAGGCAGTCTGAATGCAATCTAAATATGTATTTTTAATTTTTTTTGTATGATAATTTACTACTGGACTATATGGAACTCTCAGAAAGACACATGCTAATGAATAAGTATTACTAAAAAATTACAAATGATTAAAGAAAAAAATCAATATCCATTAAGACTATTTTTCCATGTAAAACTTCAAACCTGACAAAAGGGATGGCAGAATTCAGATAATTAATAACCTCCAAAAGACACAGGACCAAATAAAACACTGTAGAATGACCACAAAAATGTTTCTCTGATTAAAAGTGTAACTAAATCAAGGAATAAAACCTGCTTTCTATGTTACCAATTATTTGCATCTGTTCAGCTTCCCATTGCTCCTTAGTGTGCAATCTGCATCTCAAAACATCCTTCTCCTGTGCTTAATGTGCAATTCACATCTCAAAACATCCTTCTTCCTGCTGTTCTGTTCACCTTGAAAAAGTACAATTCTAGCATGTATCTTCTTCAAAATTTGGTTTAGAGGGCCCGTATTCTGTTTACAGTCAACATACATAGAAACAACCCTACTGATCTTCAACATACCTTCAGTCAATAAAAGCGTACTTCATCCTGAATGTGGGTACTCTGTAATCACTATGTATGAGGAAAATGAGACTGCACCATCTATCAGTATCATATACAAAAAAGTCAACGTATGGATGGATGATCTCTGACTTTAAAACAATAAATGGTACAATCATGATTTTAGAATCTAATGTTATTCTTAAATGTAATTCACTAGTGGAACACCATGTTCTAAAGGGTATTCATAGCAATACAGCAAATAACATTAATTCACAATATTAAATATCTAATTGATGTATAATTATTGCTAAGACTACCCTGCTTTTTTTATCAGGTATGTTTATAATTGTGTCCTTCACAATTTTAGATTGTATTAGAACAGCTACTCATAGAAATTTCTTCAGTGCTCACACAAATGGAAGACTTATAAAAACACACATAAATGTTCTGCATTGGAACAGTAAGAAGCTATAACTTGAATGCATTCAGACCTGTAGCAGGCTGTTGCTGCTGTGTAAGTGTTGCAGCCATGGCAACGGCTGCTGCATTTGGCATGGTGCTGAAAGGGGTGGGTCCAGTAGTAACTCTGGGTGTGTTCTGCCACTTCTTGGCTTCTGCTCGTCTTGCTTCAAACACATCAACAGCATCTCCCAAGAACATTTTCCTGTAGCCAAGGTACTGTTCTTTCAGAACCTAAAAGAATGGAAATCAAACAAACAAAAAAGCTAAATGAAGTTCCACATTGACTACAGTAATATTTGGATGAATATAAACATGATGTTACCAAAGATAATGCCAATATTATACATTCCAATCTAAACTTCAGAGTGCTAGTAATGCACTTTCGTGTAGTAAGTGATGAGTTCAAGAGTTTTACTGCTCCCTTGAATAGTTTACTTCCTATCTTTGACATATCTTTACAACATGCTTCCTAAAATAGTCTTTGTGAGGCCTTGTTTAAAATAAATCAGCTCAGCTTTTAGACAAGCAGAGTAATATTTAAATTAATCCTCCATCAGTGTGCAGGTGGGTGGACTTAAAATAATTTAAAAATAAATATTCCAGTTTTTCAAGAAAATTTCCCCTCAAATATCTAATCTTTACACAGGCTTTAGAACAGTTAAAAAAAGAAAGAAAAAAGTCAGCACTAAATACATATACATATATATAAATTTTAAATACATTTTTTTGAAGGCCTGGGTAACATGCTAAAATAAGATGTTACACCACAGCAGAGTGCTTGGAGGGTATAATGAGGGCTTCTACTTTATCCCTCATTGTACAATGAGACTGATTCATGTAAAAGTTATGAACTCAACCATAACTCAACCGCCTCAAAGAAAAAATGAGTTTATAATTCCAGAGTAAGAAAAATTTCCAAGTTCATAAAGTGAGCTGCTTCTACCCAATGCTGCATCTGCCTTAAGGCTATTAACAGCAACAATTTTGTTTTACTTTAGAATTATTTAGCACTTTCATTGAAGATTTAGCCTAATTTAGATACTTTTTTTTACCACTTTTTGAAGAGATAAAGAATTTTCATATTTCTTACATCTCTTAGCAGAAATTAGCAAGTATTAGGTTCTGATTACAAGCACAGCACTTAAAAATCGTATTGTTTATAGTATTTAAAAGCTACCACCCTTTTTGTGTGGATGTCAGTGTTCTATGTTCCAGTTCCAAATTTTGCTACATTTATGACGTATTAAAAAGGGGGGCCTGTGAAGAACTGGAAATTGGGGAAGTGCCAGAATCAAGACATATGACATAATAAAAACAAACATTACTGATCCCCAAATCCACCCTTCCTTTTCCTGAGCAAGCATCAGTACCCCATAAATTTTAGTTCTACTTCAGATAATGAAAAATAATGATCCACCTTAGAAACTTAAGACCAATTAGTTAAAAGAAACAGGCTGGCCACAGTGGCTCCCACCTATAATCGTAGCCCTTTGGGAGGCCTACACAAGGAGGACTCCTTGAGGCCGGGAGTTAAGATCAGCCTGGGCAACATACCAAGTTCTCCTCTCTACAAAAGCTAAAAAATTAGCTAAGTGTGGTGGTGCATGCCTATAGTCCTAGCTACCCTAGAGGCTGAGGCTGGGGTGGGAGGATTGCATGGGCCCAGGAGACTGAGACTACAATGAGCCATAATTACACCACTGCACTCTAGCATGGAAGACAGAGCAAGCCCTTGTCTCAAAAACAAAGCAAAATAATAAAACAAACAAAAACCTTGACATCAGCCATGATTTATAAAATAAATTGCTAAAACTTCCAAATGTGTTAATGTTCCTAAGACCTGGCTGGATAAGACAGTTTACGCCTATTTCAACAGATTATCTAATGAAAAACGAAACGAACAAAAAATATGTATTGTGAGACTTAGATAAGAAATAAAGAGGCCTAGAGCTTAGTTTGCTCACTAAACTAAGCTAAAAATAATGGCAGCATACCAAATCTGATCATAAAATATTCTTTGGTTCTTGAGAATATCCTTTTGTTCTTGGGTTGCTTAAAGAGGAGGTCAAAATTTCACATCTATGTTCATTTGACATGATCTGGGGCAGTTTTATGTGGTCTCAGTCTCACTGTTCAAAGGTCATGTTACCGAAAAGGATATATTTTCCAAACCAGAGAAGAGAAAGTGCTGCTTTTTAAAAAAAAGTACATATTTACACATGGCATTTGCTCTAAAATACTTCAAGAGGGAAAAAAGCATTTCCTGTGGAGCATTGATAAAACAAGTTCGGCAGGGTTTTGATAATGATTGAAGTTAGGTAATCATTCCTGGGCATTCATTATAATGATACCCTACTTTTGTGTATATTTGAAAGATTTCATAATAAAGAAAAAAATTCTGCACAATGGACTTCAAAGTGCCATACATTAATTTTTTTAATTAAAAAATTAAAGTAACAATTATTTTAGACTAATAAAATTTTCAAAAAATCTGATAAAATTCCTCCTTTAGAACAAAATTAAAAATTTGGGTTAGTTTTAAATCTCCTAAAGCAAAAGGTCTAAATGCACTACCATTTCAAAAATGGTGTAATTTAAATGGTTAACTTAAAAAAATTGTTACTATGCATCAGATCAAAATAAAAATGAAAATACTGATAATCTCAATTAAACTCTATTCTACACAGTTGACAATTTATCTAGACTCAGGTTTGGCCGCTTGAATTTTAAAGGTTTTTTTTGAACCACATATACTCTGAGAAAGAATTTAATTACATTTGCTCAGTTAGAAAAGATGTACTTACATTTAACATTTCACTTATATTTTTAAAACTAACATTTTATATTTTAAAACTAACATTATATTATATGGGAGTCAGAATATTCAGGCTGGGTGCAGTGGCTCATATCTGTAATCCCAGCATTTTGGGAGGTCAAGGCCAGTGGATTGCCTGAGCTTAGTAGTTCAAGACCAGCCTGTGCAACATGGCAAAACCCTGTCTCTACTAAATATACGAAAAATTAGCCAGGTGTGGTGACACATGCCTGCAGTCCCAGCTACTCAGGAGGCTGAGGCATGAGAATCACTTAAACCCGGGAGGCAGAGGTTGCAGTGAGCCGAGATCATGCCAGCATGGGCAACAGAGCAAGACTCTGTCTCAAAAAAAAAAGAGAGAGAGAGAGAGTCAAAATACTCAATGATAAATCATTTTATTTACATTATTTAATAAACACAAACAGTTCCCTGTATTTATTTAGAAGGGAGAAATGTAAGCAAGTTTTAAATGCAGTAGCCAAAACATTTAAAACACACTAAAATTAAGGTAGTACAAAATGATTTTGCTACTAAGAATACTCATTTTCTACAGTGCTATTTATAGTGGTAAAAGAAACCACTTAAATATCCAGTAGACAATAGGTTAAACAATGTACAAACATACAACAAACTCCTATGTTAACTACTAAAAATGATATTCAGGAAATATGTGTAATAACATAGAAAGTTATTCACAATACACTGCTAAAAAAAGCTGTAATAACAGACTATACAGGGTACTTGGATATTTTTTAAAAGAACAGATATTGCCAATTGTTATGTCTGAATATGTTATAGATTACAATAGTTTTCATCTTTTCACTTATATGTAATTTTAGCTATTTCTGTACCAAGCACGGACACATTTGTCCCAAGATGAACAAATACTTGGGTATAGATATCCAGGTAGATAAATGGGCAATGAAAACTTACCTTTACATTTTCATGAATAGACTGAAGTTGTGCTGCTAAAGCTACAAAGGTTTGATAAATTTTCTGCATAGCCATTGACAAATCTATAAAAGAAAATTACATTATCACCCAAATATACATATACATATACATATATATATATATATATATATAGAGAGAGAGAGAGAGAGAGAGAGAGCACAATTTAATTTTTCTATTTGAGTCCAATTTTTGGCATAGTTAATACATAAAAGAAAAAACCTTTATTGGAGTTCTCATGGCCAGCGAACAACATATAGAGTAGTAGACCGAAAGAAGAATGTCTTCAACAGTAATCTGGGCGGAGGAAGGCCCTAAGATTTCTGCCCTTGTTACCACAGTAACAATTCATATAATAAAGCATATTATATTTATAGAGAATAAAGGACTAATAAATGATTTTTAAGGAAATTTTCTTAGAGCAGCTACCAGTAGTTATCCAGAATACCTATTATATAATCACAGTTTAATCTATCGCCTACAAACAAAAGTTCAAAAAAATTACCATAGTAAGCATGTTACCTTGAGGGGTTATATGTGAATTATTTGCTTGAGTGGCAAGATGGTTTTCTAGTTCTTCAATCTGTTGTCTGTATTGCTGAAGCTGTACCTCAAATTGCTGAACCAAGATTCTGAAGTAGCTTTAAAAAACATTTAAAAAGTCAGATCAAATTTTTTTTTTAATTTGGAGTGACAAATCCAAATTAAGGAATATTCTGCAATAGCTTAGTCTGCAGAAGTATCACAGTTATCCAAGGAAAGGAAGGACTGAATAATAGTGATTGGAAGAGATTAAGGAGAAATTACAAATGCAATGTTAATCCCAAATAAGATGCTGAAACAGAAGTACATTAGTGGAAAAACTGGTTGAATTGCAGTAAGCTTAGTAGTTTAGTTAATAATATTGTAACAATTTTAGTTTCCTGTTCTTGGTAATTATACTATAGTTATATAACATGTTAACATTAGGGGAAGCAGAGGAAATGATAAAAATAATTTCTCTGTACTGCTATTTTGCAAATTTTCTGTAAAGTCAAAATAAATTTAAAATAAAGTAGAAAAGTCTATCAACCAGATTCCAGAATTAAGAATTTATAGTTATCAATGAAATTTATAATCTGAGAACACTATAGTATACTACAGAAAGCACATATAATTACTGCTACTCTTCTAATAAATTTACCCAGAGTGCTAGCTAGATAAAAAGGGATCTTGAATAGTAGACAAAGGAATCGGAATGATTTTCAGTTAAAAAAAAGAAAAAAAAGGCAACCATGAAAGCTTTTTGCAAAATTGGCTCTGATAGCAGTATTCAGAACAAAACAGGGGGATAAAACAGCAGATAAAAGTCCAGTGAGGAAGCACATCCCATGCCAATCTGAATAAGAGGAATATCGTGGTCATTATGAATTTCCTGATTTTGAGAAATGTTAAGTATGAGAATATCCTTATTTTTAAGAAATATCCACTGAAGTACTTTAGTATAGTGAACATTATTTCTGCCAATAACCCAAACTGTTTGGGGGGAGTAATGTATATATACACATAGAATGTAAGGAACAAAAATACGGTAAAAATGTTAATATGTAGGAAATCAGAATGAAAGGTATACAGGAATTTTTGGTTCTTTTCTGACTAAAATTATAATAAAAAACTAAAAGAATGAAATAAGTAAGGGGCCAGGCGTGGTGGCCCATATCTGTAATCCCACCACTTTAGGAGGCCGAGGCAGGAGTTATCACTTTATCCAAGGAGTCTGTGACCAGATCAAGCAACACTGAGAAATGGCATCTCTACAAATGAACTAATTAATTAATTAATACTGAGGGACCAGGAATCAAACAGACCTCCATCATTCAACTCACTTTTGCATACCTCAGTTTCTTTATTGCTAAAACTGAACAACAGCTACTGAGGTCTTATGAAATATGAAGAGGTAAAGCATATATACTCCTAAGCACACTGCATGGCAAATAGTAATCATATAACAAACATTAGTTACTATTATGTTTATCAACATGAAGAAGATAAAAAGAGAGACAAGATATATTTCTCATGTATGGAAACCAGATGTATATACAAACTGAGTGATGTGATTACAGGGTGGTTTTATCTTCTCCTCACCTACATTTTCTAATTTTTCTTCCAGAACATTTATTACCTATGTAACTGAATGATGGTAATTTTCCATTATCAGCAAAATTAAATAAAATGGAATAGACCCTGTAAATAATATATACATGAAATGTAAATGCATAATAGTGAAAAGCTCAGATCTTAGCCTTCACTTACCCTGCAGAATGGTGTTAATGGAGATAAATCTTTTTAGGGTAATTATGTAAAAAAAATCCATGTAAAGTGCTTATTAGCTCAGCCTTTCCATACAGTATACTAAAAATATTTAGTTTATAAACTATTATTATTGTTCTGTTTTCTTAAAGTGAGAAACATTTGTTTTTAAAAATCCAGCAACTTACTCAGCAGGAGCTGCATATTCATGTTGAAGTCCAGGTGGTGTCTTCTGGGTTCTTAAAGCTATTTCAGCATTCTTTAACTCCTAACATACCAGAGGTTAAAAAAAAAAAGCCAGTTAAGGGTTAGATTAAAAATACCATACTAAAGAAAATATACAGTCTCTGGACGGAAACTTCAAACAATGCCATCCTTGGAGGTTCATACTATAAGAACATATTATGGACAAAGCTTGCTTTACGAGTTGCTAAAACCTCTTTCAAGGGCAGACAAATTACAGTTTTAACAAACTTTATGATAAAATTATAAAAAGCTGTGAATCTATTTTTTAAACTATGGATTTCTGTAAGATTCATGAAGTAAATTCATCTACAGTGAAAAGATTATATTACTTCTTAAAATCTCTTTTCTTAAAAAAGGTTTGACGAAATGCTAACGAGAATAAATAGCTTAGAGAGGGAAAAAAAATCTTTAATATACAAATGCAGAAAACACTTTTTTTAAAAGCAGGTAGTAATGGTGAGGCTGATGCAGGTATAATTAACATTTGGTTGCTTGCTATGTACCAAGCACTATGCCAAAGGCTATTTCTCAATAACAACACTATAATGTAGGTAATGTTTCTCTTTTTATAGATGAAGAAATGAATTTACAAAGACATTATGTAACTTGCCCAATACCATGTTGCTAGAAGACCAGAGAACTGGATCTAGGCACCCCAATATTTTAAAACTTACACACTCAACCATTCTTACATTGCTTTCTACGATTCCAGTCAATTGTTGTCCAAGATTAGCATTCTGTTTACCCCCTTACATTCCACATTCCTATCATTTCACTACATTTTAGATCTCTATTTAAGTATTCTTTATTTCACAGAGTTAACTGTGAAATAAATATCTTAACTTTATATTCCTTGTAGCAACATCTCTCCCTCATTAAACTGCCAAGCTGCTAGGTCTATGATGGTTTTTTCCTACTTCCTTTTCACTCAACTCAGGCTTCCATACCACCCTACTCCAATACAAATACATGTGTGGATGATTCAAGACTCTGACCCCTGCTATCTCTGTAAGCACTTATTCTTGCCAGGCCCAGATTCTTATAATACAAAACTGCTTACAGATCTTCAGACATGCCCATACCTTCATTCATGATACTTCCCTCTTTTTAAGACTCAGTGTAAAGGTATTCTACATGGACAAACGCTAAGTGTCCACTTGAGGCCTCTGTGCCCCTACAAAACCTGTTACCTGGATCATATCACCTGATGGATTTAACTCTCCCTAGTCTAAATCTTGATCCCTAATGCCTGTTGAAGTACCTGGCACACAACAGATGTTTTAAAAATGTTAATTGAATGACTGGAAAGCTGAACAAAGGAATTTAACTTCAATAAACCATGTGGACCTCCCCCCAAAAGAAGAACTAGCCATCCTATTTTAATTTAAACTCAAGTTACTTACTAAAAATGAGGTATATAAAAGACTTTGCCTTCCATAAGAGTCTGGTCTACCTCAACTCTAACTGCAGAACTGCTTATATTTCCCAGAAAGGCTTTCTTTGAAGAAAAGCCTTTAGGGTTACATAAGATTGATACTTCATAGAGGACTCAGAACATTTTTTTTAAAATTAGTAATTCACTAGACTCTTAGTAGAGTATTAGTTCCCATCTACTAGAAATTAGAGTAATTTTAGATCAATTTTTTTTTCTTATTTCCTTTTTGTTCTTCCTCTTTGAACTGATGAGCACAAAACAAAAATCTTTTTTTAAAATGTAATTTTATTTTTTAAATTCCAGGGTACATGTGCAGGAATGTGCAGGTTACATAGGTAAACGTGTGCCATGGTGGTTTGCTGCACCTGCCAACTCATCACCTAGGTATGAAGCCCAGCATACATTCGCTATACAATTCCTGAAATTCAGCTCAGATGATTCTTCCTTAAGGAAACTTTGACGCCCATGTCTTATTCCTTTGCCACCTTTATGCTTTTCTCAAGCTTTTATTATTCTATTCACCCTCCTAGATTTTGAGTACCTTTGGAGTTGTCTTCTTATCTCTAAAAGACTATTAACATGCCCACTATGAATGCTACTCCACAAACAGTGGTGAGTGGAATCATTCAGTTTTAGAATTAAAATGGGTCCCATTATAGCATTCATTTCTTTTTCAAGTTTGCCTCCTCCATTATTTTCCTCTAATGACATATTCTATATAACTTTATATAATTTCATATATGTCACATAATTTCATGTAATGTTTAATCACAGTCTAAACATTCTCCAATATAAAAACATAACTAACTCTATTACCTAGAAAGGACATACATGGATTAGGAAGATTAAGTGGAAAGGAAACATGGGGCAATACAAGTTGAGTATACCATATCCAAAAAGCTTGGGACCACCAAGTGTTTTCGATTTTGGAATTTTTCTGATTCTGGAATATCTGCATACATAAAATGAGGCATATCTTGGGAACAGAACACAAGTTTAAACACAAAATTCATTTATGTCTCTGATATACATAGCCTGAAAGTAACTATACAATTTTAATAATTTTGTACGTGAAACAAAGTTTTAACTGTAACCCATCCCATGAGGTCTGGTGTGGGATTTTTCACTTGTAGCATCATGTTAGCACTCAAAAAATTCTGTATTTTGGAGCATTTCAGATTTTGAATTAGGGACGCTCAACCTGTATTATATTCGTATTTAACCAAATAAACATGTTAGGAGACCAGGAAATCTGAGAATAGACAATAAAGTCTTTGAAATCCCTTTAACCATTACAGTTATTAAAAAGATCACAAGGTATTCTCCAATAGTGGATTTAAAGACCCAAAAGCACCTTTAAGAATTTTACTTAAAATACTAACACTTCATTTGTGAAGATCCCAGCCCTCTGAGAAATCCACATTAAAAAAGCAAATCTCACATGATGTTCATTAGCAGATCAGGGACAACTTTACAGAAAGATTTCTAGACTGTTATGATGCGATCAAGTATATTCTGTAATTATGATAAATAAAACACAAATCACCTATCATGATCCTTTCCCACTGATGTAGAAAAAGACTACATATTATATTTAATATGTATTGTACATTATATCATAAGAAGAAAAAACAAGTAGATACTGGTGACAGATAACATTAGCCACATTACTATTTTTGTTTATTTTTATTTTTTTGAGAGAGTTTTGCTCTTGTTGCCCAGGCTGGAGTGCAATGCACAGTCTCAACTCATTGCAATCTCCACCTCCCGGGTTCAAGTGACTCGCCTGCCTCAGCCTCCCGAGTAGCTGGGATTACAGGGATGCACCACCACACCTGGCTAATTTTTGTATTTTTAACAGAGACAGAGTTTCACCATGTTGGTGAGGCTGGTCTCAAACCCCTGACCTCAGGCGACCCATCCGCCTTGGCCTCCCAAAATGCTGGGATTACAGGCGTGAGCCACTGTGCCCAGTCTACTATTTGTATTAACTAAGATTTAACCATGATTTGCAAATCACCACTCAAATTTAATATCCACACAGCATGATACAATTTTTACTTAATAACTGACAGATTTAAAAAAAAATTATTTTCTGACTAGCTGTGTTTCATCTTATATAATAGACAAATTTAGCCAGCAACCACTCTTATGAAACCTAGTTAGTTAAGAGAATAAGCTCTGGAGTTGGATTACCAGGGTCTGAATCTAGGCCCTTCAATTTACTAACAAAGCTCTGTGCTTGTTTTCTTATTTATATAATGAGGATAATAATACCTACCTTGTAGGGCCTTGTCAGAAATCCATTTTAACAGATACAAATTGCTTAGGATACTGTCTTGTATACAGAAAATACCTAATGAAAATTCATTATTAAAGTATATGAGCTATCCTGTTTTCTACCAGTATGTCTGTATCAAAGTTTGTAACTTAAAAAAAAAAAACCCGTATTTCCATTTTGGGAAACAAAACAAAACAAAACCCTATGATAAAAATGACCTAATTTACTTTACCTGAGCAGTTTCTATTTTCAATTTGTCAATGTTGAGAGTGTTTCTCTGTAGTCCATTGGCAGCCAAGGACAGGAGCTGCTTCAGAGCTTTAATATCTTCTTGTACCTTAAGCATTGCTTTTGAAGACATTCTACTAATTTCTTCTTGAACTTGTTTCTGCTCCTTGACAAATTTCCTAAAAAGTATATATTTAAAACTGAGTTTTTAAAAATATACCTTTGATTTCCTACAGAAAAAAAAAAAGTATACTTAAAACAGTCCAAGTTTTAAGAAACAAAACGAAAAATTCATTTACAATTCACATACATTTTTACAGAATGGCAGTTAAAGAATTTTAATTCCTGTCATTCTGCTTTCTGATTTCTAAAAGCATTAACATTTTAACCCAAGTTAAGAGATGCTCCTCTAGAATGCAATTTTAGAAGGAAGGCAATGCTCATGTTAAGTATTCTACAATTCTTCAAGTGTTATATATCTAATTACATTTGACACTCACTGGAGATTTTCAACATCCTGGCAGATGACAGGAGGTAGATTTTCATCCTTCAGAGCTTTACTATCCCTAAGAAAAATGTAAAAACTGTATTAAGATCACCAAGGTTTTAGAAAGTTGACAGCTGAGTTTTAATAGAGTATTAGGGTATTAAGATACAAGAAAATATAGCAAAGAATCACTTATAGCTTCTTTGGATGATTGCAAAGTTTTTTATAAAAAAAATTTTTTAACAGAATCTATAAAATAACGTTAACTCATCTGACATGTAGATTTCTTATCTAAGAAGATTAGCATCTATTAAAAACATACTTAAAAGCAACTGACTAAATGTTAACAAAAAAAATCAGAAAATACTACAAATTGGGTAAGATGTTAAACTAAGTTCCCTCTGGCTTAGATTCTGACTGACAATTTGTTCAGTTCCAAAATACTAATGTATTCATTAAAGGAAGTCTACAAAACTTATGAGATGCTCAAAATACTTTTGAAAAATAACTTCAATTACTTCAACATGCATTAGAATGAAAAAATAAGACCTACACAGAGCTTACAGAATCATAAATATTTAATGAGGACAAGAACAAGTGAAATTTGGTATACTGCAAAGGAATCATGAATCAGACTTCATAACCCTTAAGCAGATCTTTCTCTCTAATCTTCTTCATTTAAACAGTAAGCTAAAATATAAACAAGATGTTTCTAAGGAGTGAATTTTATCATTTATTTACGAACACTTTAATATAGTACAAATAATGTGAGAAAATATAATTGGTAATAAGAAGAATGACCATCGTTAAACATATACATGATGTATATGGAGACTCCTCTCTTCATTGAAAACACCAGGGCATAAAATGAGACTGGCACAATAATTCTCTCTCACACACACACACACACACAAAATGTATGTGTGTATATGTATATATGTGTGTGCATATACATGTACGTGTGTGTTTTGTGTGTGTGCGTGTGTGTGTGTATAAAATGCTCCAAAAGTAAAGTTCCAGGAGTTGTTCAATATTTAATAGGCTAAAGAAAGAAATACACACATTTGTATTTATTTGTATTATTTAGGGAAATACCAAACACCTTTCTAGAAAGAGTTTTAAATTTTCTTAAAGACTAAAAGCTAAAGATTTGACCTTTCATTATCTTTCCAGAACATGTATATTATTTTACTTTTAACAAAGACTGTTAAAAAAAAACTTTTTCTTCCTAAACATATATGATTCTACTACTTCCAATTATACCATCTGCCTACAATTTAATAAGTTAAACTCTTTAATTAAAATGTCTTAAGGGTAAATTTGTAAACTTACTCTGGTCTTGTTCCTGTTTTATCACCTAGAAAATTCAAGAAGCTTATGTAAAAAAAAACAGGTAATTTAACAACATACTCCAAATACAAGTTTTAAATTAACACAAATTAAAGTATAAATATAAACTGTTAAGCATTTCTTTGCTTGCCTCTTAAACATCATGTGATGTCATGACTCGTCATGAACTCAGAAGAACAGCATGTACTTTCAAGGTCAACAATCTTCCTTTCTCAACCATCTTCCATGAAAAATATCCTGTATGGATAATTTATGTTGTTGCCTACCAGTTTAACTCCTGATAACTTTACCTGACACTTTTTAAGCCCCTATCAATATAGAATACTATGTCAGATTACCCAAACTTTTCCAATCTGACAATCCCTTAAAACAATGATCCCAGTTTACCTTCCTATCTGCCACAAATCCGTTCTTTATCACACCCTCACAACAACGGACATAGTTTTTTTTAAAAACTTTTGCCAGTCATGTAGTTGAAAAATGTCACTTCATAATAATTCTTAGTTGTATTTCTTACAGTATTGGTGAAGAAAACCATTTTCTTCAAATGCTCATGAGACAAGCATATTTCTGGTTTTGTGAACTATTTGTAATCTGCACAATTTTCTTGAGGTATTTTTATTAATAAGAGCTATTTCAATATTAAGTATATTAATTATTTGTTTCATTTACATAATTTCATGTGTCTATTTCTAAAGTTAGACTCTTGTAAGATATATCTCAATTTCAGAAATGTTAAAATGTGTAAAAATAAGCACTTAAAAATCAAGCATTTTGGGCAGAGTGCTTGAGCCCAAGAGTTGGAGACCAGCCTGGGCAACAGGGTAAAACCTTATCCCTACAAAACTTTTTTTTTCTTTTGAGATGGAGACTCACTCCATCACCCAGGCAGAAGTGCAGTGGCACGATCTCAGCTCACTGTAACCACTGTTGCCCAGGTTCAAGCAATTCTCCCGCCTCAGCTTCCCAAGTAGCTAAGATACAAGCGTCTGCCACTGCACCCAGTTAATTTTTGTATTTTTAGAAGATGGGGTTTCACCACCTTGGCCAGGTTGGTCTTGATCTCCTGACCTCATGATCCACCTGCCTCAGCCTCCCAAAGTGTTGGGATTACAGACATAAGCCACCGTACCTGGCCCAAATTTTTTTTAAAACTTAGCTAGGTATAGTGCTGTGTACCTGTGGTCCCAGCTACTTGGGAGGCTAAAGTAGGAGGATCACTTGAGCCAGGGAGATGGAGGTTGCAGTGAGGTGAGATCACCACTGCACTCCAGCCTAGGTGACAGTGCAAGGCTCTGTATCCCCCAATCCACAAAAAATCAGGCATTTCTTTCCTCAATTACCTTTTACCTCTGCACATGGGTTTTACTTTTTTACCTCTTTCATCTAACTGTAATTTATGTTTCCATGTTTTGTATTTCACTGATTTTAAGATTACTTTTTCATATTTTAGTATCTCTGAAATTGTCATCTTCTATAGACTATGTCTTAAATTTTATGAGACATAGAAATAAAAACAGGAATTTTATGTTCTTCCAAATAATTCACCAACTTTTAAATTGACTAGTATGTTATTTCTTTGATATGACATTTTGTTGTATTTTATAAATACTTATATACACACAAACGTATATAAAAAACTTGAGCCTGTTTCTACCATGAATCCCTGATTACCACGGACCCCCAATTAGACTACCTAGCTTTGCCTCAGTAATACACATAGACCACTACAAAAGCTTCCTAACAGTTTTCCATTCTATTCTTGCCTTCCTGAATGCTATTTTCCATATGGCTGTCAGAATGCTCTTAATTCTAAAATACAAATCTCATCAAATCCCTTTAATAGAACCAAATTGCCTGAGGTATTAATATAATGACAAAACTCAACATGGCAAACAAGGCCTCCATAACTTCTAGAACCTCATCTTTCTGCTCTATGGCTAATCTGGCCTTTACAATTTCTTCAAAAGGTCCTTCTCATCTCTAGGCTCACTCAATGCTGTCCCCTCTTCACTGAACGCTATTTTTTGCTACTCTCCATCTGGTTAAATCCCACACTAGTACTGCAGGGTCCAGGCTAAATGACATAGCTTACTAGAAAAAGAGAAATCATTTGGATTAAAAAAAAAAAAAAAGAAGAATCCCTTGATATGAGCAATAGATAAAAGGAAACAAGAATGTAGTAATCAGAGATCCATGGTAGAAACAGGCCCAAGTTTTTTATACACATTTGTGTATACATATTCATAAAATTTAATGTCATATTTAAAACATTTATTCCATTTATTCTATATATTTTCCTTGCTCAACTCTATCTTAGGTACACTATAAAAGCAGGAAGATGTGGGGAGGGGCAGAGGAGGGAAGATTAATTTCTTACATTTATTTATTTTACTCTTCTGACTCAGCCTGCTCTTTGACATGGAGCCTAAAAACAAGTATAATAAAGAAGTACTCTCAGGCTTAAAATAAAAGTAATAACAATGGTACCAGGCTATTCCACTTGAGTAATAAATAAGCTGCTAAAGCTACTTTTCTCACTGTGGAGTTGCTACAGAGAAAACTAAGTAAAAACAAACTCTGTTTAGAAATTAGCCAGTTTTCATTGAAAGAGATACTGAACTTTGTAAAAAGTTTACAAAGATTTTACTAACTTTTAAAATAGTAATTCACCTTGAAATAGTATCTCCTTATAATAAAATCCATGTCCAGTTTTAAAAAAAAATACAGCGACACGGACACTATTTCATACCTTCATCCATTTATCTCATTCTTCAGAGAAGTTCAGTATGTATGTGTATACCCTAGCATATCTAGTATATACGGTATATATTCTAGTGAAACATGCTTTCGTCAGAAGCAGAAGAGATAGTACAAAACAAAGCAACACACAGAACGATAAAAACATTTTCAAAATGAATTTGGATTAGCAAATTTTTAAAACCAATATTCAATGTGGCAGGGGCAGAGCAAGAAAGTTGTTTTCATACTGGTTAGGGGGTAAAACTGGTAAAATCTTTTTGGAAAGGCAATGGCATAATCTATATACTAAGGCTCCAAAATATCCCTCTCTTCAAGCCAATGATCCAATTTCTAGGTATTTTCCCCAAGAAATAACCAAAAATATAAACAAACATTGATAATAAAAGGAGACACCTGTGTGTCTGGCTCTGCTAAGGTTTTACAAATAGTATCCTCAAACCATTTAACAGATACAGAAAATTAAAGCACATAGGATACTTCAATAAGGTCACAGAGCTCACAAAGCAGATGGCCCAGGATCTGAACCCAGGCAATTCTCCTCCAGAGTAGACATTCTTAAACTACTACATTATTTTGCCTTTTTAGATAAAGATGCCCAATTTTTTACATCTCAGAGTAGAACATCTGGAAATAAACATCTAACAAGAGAACAATGGTTGACTAAATTATGATCCATCCATAAAACTGATATTAAGCAGCATTAAAATATTTAAAAAGAATTACCGACACTGACAAACGCTTCTGATATGTTACATAAGAACACACTACAAAACAATACTGCATATGTATCATAATCCCAATTTAAAAATACATATTCATATACACATTAAGATAGCTATATAAGACATATGCACATACAAATCTGTTAGCTACAAAAATAAAACCTTATATGCACAACACACACAAAATGTGTGAACTATTTGTGAAATATTAATGCAAACAAATTTAAAAGTAAAAACTATTACTACTGAATATATGATCTTCCACACAAAGGAATTTTGAGCAACCCAGACTGTCAGAATGTAAAATTACAATAGCATTACTTACTCTTTTTATCTGAGGAGCTACTAAAATCTATGCCACCAAGGCCTTCATTGCCTGCAGCTGAAGTAGCTGCTGTAGTTCCCAAAGTCAAGCCTAAAGCATTCTGTCCTAGTCCTATAAATAAATCAAACACCACTTATAAATTTCATTGAAAGACTACAACAATTTCCCCCTATTGATCAAAGGACTCTAATACTAATTTTAAAGTCAGATTCCAGATTTTCTTCATATTTGATTTAGGGAAATAAGTCTACCGCATGTTTTGGCCAAAGACTGATAACCTTTCTTGAATTGAATGGTGTATGTAGTTTGGATGATGTGATTTTTCATTATTACAAGGGCCATAAAGTGTAACAATTCAATATATGTAGGCACTCAACCTTTGTCATAAAGGGGTTTTGTTACAGAGGGCTTTTAAACCCTCTCTACAAAAGCAGTTTCAGTTGGTGTATTTTCAAGTGAATACATCTTGTCTTCCAATCACACTTTGGAACCGCATACTTTTAAAATAATCTAATGTCAATTTATAGGATTTGAATATAATACATATTAAATATAATTTCACACTCCCGAGTTCTTTTCACAAAACTTTAAAAAAGTATTAGAATTCATGTATTTATTTAAATCTTCCCTCACTGACAAAAGAAATAAAAAGGACTAGATTATGGTTAATCATTACATCTTGTCTTCCAATCACACTTTGGAACCGCATACTTTTAAAATAATCTAATGTCAATTTATAGGATTTGAATATAATACATATTAAATATAATTTCACACTCCCGAGTTCTTTTCACAAAACTTTAAAAAAGTATTAGAATTCATGTATTTATTTAAATCTTCCCTCACTGACAAAAGAAATAAAAAGGACTAGATTATGGTTAATCATAAGTCATTCATGTATACTTGTGAGTCAAGTAGCAAAATTTCAAGAACCTTGGGTTGATACATCTATATTTCTTTTCTTTTTTTTTTTTTTTGAGATGGAGTCCTCTCTTGTTGCCCAGGCTGGAGTGTGATGGCACGATCTCAGCTCACTGTGACCTCCACCTCCCGATTCAAGCAATTCTCCTGCCTCAGCCTCCTAAACAGCTGGGATTACAGGCATGCATCACCATGTCTGGCTAATTTTGTACTTTTAGTACAGATGGGGTTTTATCATGTTAGTCAGGCTGATCTTCAACTCCTGACTTCAGGTGATCCACCCGCCCTGACCTCCCAAAGTGCTGGGATTACAGGTGTGAGCCACCATGCCCAGCCTAATAAATCTGTATTTCTATAAGACCATGCATTCCTGAGCTGATACAACTGTTGTTCTTTTTAAACAAAATGTTATCTCTAGATCAGTTTACTGACTCCTTAAACAGGCTCTTCTTTGTTTCCTTATCTAGTCAATATTGAGAAAGACAAAAATGTGTTTTTGTCTAAAATATGGCGAATAGGCTGGGTGTTATGGCTACATCTGTAATTACAGTACTTTGGGAGGCCGAGGCAGGTCGTCATTTGAGGTCAGAAGTTTGAGACCAGCATGGCCAACACGGTGAAACCCCATCTCTACTAAAAACACAATAATTAGCCAGATGTGGTGGCACACACCTGTAAACCCAGCTACTCAGGAGTCTGAGGCAGGAGAATCTCTTGAACCCTGGAGGTGGAGGTTACAGTGAGCCAAGATCACGCCACTGCACTCCAGCCTGGGTGACAGAGCGAGACTCCATCTCAAAATATAAAAATACATATAAAATAAAATATGGCTACTACATCCAATTATGTATGAAAACCATCATTTTATAATTTAGTTTTCATATTCAAAGGGAAATTGCAGATTAAACAGAAAAAGTCATGTGCTCAAAGGGCCAAAATAATAATAAGTACATTTAAATTTACTATTCTGGAGAATAAATGCCATCAATTACCTGATGTTGCTGTGTTTGTGCTCTGGAAAAGTGAACCTCCCAAACCGGCTAAGGCTCCCCCTAAAGAGAGGCCTGTTGACGCAGTTGTAGTTGTGGCTGTTGTCCCACCCAAATTATTTAGGGTAAATCCTGTGGAAGCTTTAAAAAGAGATAGTAAACTTTCAAAAGGCAATATTATTTACCAGCAGCATAGAAAAATACAAATACAATGTTTTAAAAACTAATTTCCATGATAAAATTGGCTTTTTGGAAGAACTACTTGCTAAAGATAAAATTATATACTTAAGAATAAAGAGAAACAGTAGCTTTAAAGCAAAAACCAATGACAGAAATAAGGGCTCTGAGGAATATTAGAATGGTACCAGGTAACTGATTCTTGACAGCAATATTGTTTTCAACCCAGACCACCACTGTCACCTTCACATTAAATAAATCATAAGACAGGCAAGATTTATGCCAAATCTGTCTTTTCCTGACATGATATAGCTCCTTGAAAACAAAGTAACTATTAACAGCTTTACATTTTACCTCTCTGGCCCTCTCCCCTGCTTTGTTCTCTAAATAGGGACTATCTCCCAAGATAGCCTCTCCTGCTCTAATGCTCAAAGCTCACTTTTCTTCTTTATAAATCAATAATTTCTGTAGTCAAAATTCTAAATGATTAAATTAATGTTTAGTAAAGGTGGCTATCTATGTTCTCTAATCAGATAACATCAAAATTTAACCATTAAATGCAATGGTTTTTCATTCTGCCTCACCTGCTGGAGTTGATGTCAGAGCAGACGAAAGAGTGAGACCGCTAGCTGAGGTAGAAGTAATAGGTAGAGCAAATGGTGTGGCAGATGCTGCAGGTTTATTGAATCCTAAACTGAAGCCTGTTGTAGGGGCAGATGTAGTGGCTGGTGTTCCTATTTAAATAAATAAATAAATAAACAAACAAACAAACAAACAAACAAACAAAATCCTTTACCTGTAAGTCTTCTATTATACTGGTTTCAATAAAAATCCCTAAAAGTCTGTGATACTACCTTTTGCCAATAGAAGAAGGGTGTACTCGTGAGAGAAAATAAAAGTTGAGACTAAATCATGGTGAACACGGAAAAGATGGCTCTTTGAGTTAAGAAAAACAAAAGAATGGTCAGGTATGGTGGCTCACACCTAAAATCTCAGCACTTTGGGAGGCCAAGAGAGGCAGATCTCTTGAGGTCAGGAGTTTGAGACCAGCCCGGCCAAAAATCCTGCCTCTACTAAAAATACAAAAATTAGCTGGGTGTGGCAGTGCACACCTGTATCCCCAGCTACTCAACAGGCTGAAGCATGAGAGTCGCTTAAACTTGGGAGGCGGAGGTTGCAGTGCGCCAAAATTGCGCCACTGAACCTGGGCAACAAAGTGAGACTCCATCTTACAAAAAAAAAAAAAAAGAAAAGAAAATCCAATTGATGCAATATATCAATTTTAATTCCACCCCTAGATTTACCTGCTAATGCAGCATTTATCCTCCTCCTTTCCTTTACTCTCAGCAGAAAAATGGTCCCTCCTCTCTAATCCTCTATCAAGAGCCATTCTCTATTCCTTTCTTCTGGCCCGTGTCTCTGTCAGCCCCCAGCTGTCCCCCTTTTCCTTTTTAGTCCTTTTTTTGTACCTCTCTTTCCTCTGTTCATGTCTTAAATGACACTTTCTACAGTTCCATTCCTACTTCCTTACTTCCCCAGTGACTCATCTACTTTAATCATTTCAACTACAGGTACATAAATCTAAATTGACATCCACCTACGTCCCTACTGGCTAGTCCTATCTTGATGTCCCTTTGGATTCCTATATATCTCACCAGAAAATTTTTTTGCTAAATCCCCAACCTTGGTCAGTTCAAGCCAGAAACCAGTCATCCTTGACATCTCTTCCTTCTCCTATATTCCATTACTCACAAATTCTGCTGATTCTACTTGAGGAATATCCTGTATTCCAAGCATCCTTAAAATCCCTAGCTTAGGCCATCTCTCTCTTAAGAACTACTATAACAGCATTTATTTCTCTGGTATCAGTCTCTTCCAACCTCTAATCTATTCTTGAAATTATCTCAGTTACCTTAAAAAAAGGGGGGGACCAGGTACGATGGCTCACACCTGTAGCCCCAGCATTTTGGGAGGCTGTGGCAGGCAGATCACCTGAGATCAGGAGTTCTAGACCAGCCCGACCAACATGGAGAAACCCTGTCTCTACTAAAAATGCAAAATTAGCCAGGCGTGGTGGTGCATGCCTGTAATCCCAGCTCCTCAGGAGGCTGAGGCAGGAGAATCACTTGAACCGGGAAGGAGGCTGCCATGAAATCAAGCTGTTGCACTCCAGCCTGGGCAACAAGAGCGAAACTCCGTCTCAACAAAACCAAAGCAAATATCCTAGTGATTCTGCCCAATTTAAAGTTCCTATTATATTCTAGATTGTCAAAATACAGTCTAAAGGCATGACATACATCTCCCTTTCCTATCCGATCCCAAACTGCTCCTCAAATCTCAGCTCTGCCCACCACTTCTACCTCTGATTTCTAAGCTCCGAAACAAAATATTTCATATTTCTCTGAACGCTTTTATGATTTGGCCTCTACACTTGCCACTCCTCTGTCTGAAATGCTTCTTGCCCATAAAGTAAACCCTACTGTTTTCTTCCTCTGCCTTCCATGGTGCCTCTCCTACATCTTTTAGGACTTTTATCAGATTATGTTAATATACCTGCCTATCCCTTTCACCTCACAACAGACTGACTGCCTTGCTTCAACCCTTAGCAGTTCCCAAGGTCGTTATCAAGGACCATCCTCACTACCAGCGCCACAAGATGATATTCAATGTTCGAGGCATTATGTATACATACACAAGGCCACATGGTTAGAAGTAGTAACTGTTCAAACAATATTAAATGAAGAAATGTATGAATGACCTGCATTGACTTATCCTGAAATCACTGAGAGAAGCCAGAAACTAGGCTTCTGGATTGCCCTGACCACAACTGGAAGTTCCTGCCAGAGTACAGTGCCTTGAAATAATGTACTGGTTACAACCTCAGAAAACAAGACTCAGACATGGTGGCTCACGCCTGTAATCCCAGCACTTTGGGAGGCCAAGGAGAGCAGGTGGCTTGAGGCTGGGAGCTCATGACCAGCCTAGGCAACATAGTGAGAACTTGTCTCCACAAAAAATAAAAATAAAAATAAAAAAATTAGCCAAATGTTGTGGTATATGCCTGTAGTCCTAGCTACTTGGGAACCTCAAGTAGCTAGGACTACTTGAGCCCAAGAGTTTGAGGTTGCAGAGGGCTGTGATGATGCCACTGCACTCCAGCCTGGACAACAGAAGAACTTGTCTGAGGAAAAGAAAAAGAAAACAAGAAGATTCACTTGCTTGTCTTTGTAGCCAATTCAGTCCAAAATATTGGTGATAAACAGATGTGTTGTGTTTCTGTTAACAACAGGTGTAGCAACCGAATGAAAAAGTTTGCCAATCCTTAACTGAAAATTCAATTTAAGAGCTTCTGAATGTTCTTTTATTTCCTTTCCCTTTCTTTTCACATTATTTACTGACATCCAGATTGAAAGCTGGCTGAAACCCTAGTTATTCACATTCCCTTCAGTGTAACAATACAGAAGGTAATATGTGTTTGGATATTAGTTCAACATCCTGTATTTTATAGATAACTAAAAGCCCCCAAATATTACCTAAGGTCTCACAACTATTTTAGAGGAACAAACCATGGCTTAATTCCAACATTTCTGGCTTAAAGTTTGTTTTTTTCACTAAATGTAGTCAAATGACTAAAAAAGTAATATGAAATAAATTTCCACATTAAAAAAAAATTTCTGCATTTAAAATACTTTTCTGAATTATAAAAGTACTCTATTGTCATTCCTTTTTTTCATGACTCAAATACTGCAAGGTTCTCTGATAAGTCACTATCTGTGATATACACACTTTCTTCTATACCCCAGCTCTTTAAGATATTAGAAGAAAGAAGAGTAGAAAGATCATTCAATTTGTTAAAATTATTAGAAAACCACAGAGCTGGGATCTTTCCTCAAAAATTCTTACCCAGAGTTAATCCTGTAGTTATCGTTGTTGCTATTCCTGGGGACAAAAAGAGAAATAAAATTTATTCATCAATTAAGATGACATTCTTTTAGTTTACCTGTCACAAGGGAAAGACTTAAAATCACCTTCAGGGATTAACAACACTTCTAATTAGAAAAATACATATCTTAGTATCTGTCACCATAAACACAAATCAAGCATTTTTCCCATAACACTGGTTTTCATATTACTAGCTGTATATAATTTGATTAAGGAAAAAAATGTATAAAATGCAAGTAACTACTGCTCATAACAAAATTAAGCAAGACCAAAAAGAGCAACTCCAAGCAAAATGCTACACTGAGCTGTCTCAAGTAGCTCACTGATCAATCTGCTCATATTTATCTCTGTAGTTACTCCATTTTCTAGATGTGGCTGTGAAATGTGATGCACTCATAGCAGGAAGATCAATGCAAAAAGTAGTAAGAAAGACCAAGAGGCTCTGAGGGTAGAAAACAAAGGGTAAATAAGAAGCAAACTTTTTAAATGGTCAGCTCCAGTGAAACATTATTTTTCCACCTGTAAGCATTAAAAACAAAAATTTTCTATTGTTTTTGAAACCTTCAAGTCCTTTACCTATTGCCCTTTTCCCACTTATTGCTTTAAAAATACAAAAATGTAAAACATCTCTTAGGAATGTAAATTATAGACCAGGCATGATAACTCAGGCCTGCAACAACAGCACTCTGAGAGGCCAAGGAAGGAGGATCTCTTGACCCCAGAAGTTTACCAGGAGGAGAACCCTTCCCTACAAAAGGAAAAAAAAAAGAAAGAAAAGAAATTAGCCAGGCGTGGTGGTGCATGCCTGTGGCCCCATCTACTCAGAAGGCTGAGGTGGGAGGGTCACTTGGGCCCAAGAGGTTGCAAGGCTACAGTGAGCCATGACCATGCCAATGCACTCCAGCCAGGACAACAGAGCGAGACCATGTCTCGTAAATTACGTTACAGCAAGAATGCTGACTCTCTCATGTATGTTAATGTTCCAAATTGATAAAGCTGGCTTAAACAACAATCTCCACTAAGGAAAAACACTGCATTATATAATCTAAAAATTTATATTACTTTAATTCATTATATTTAAGGAAAGAGATCTTCCAGGCAGAGCTCACAGTGAACTGAGATCGAGCCACTGTACTCCAACCTGGGCAACAAAGTAAGACTCCACCTCAAAAAAGAGAGAGAGAGAGAAAGAGAGAGAGAGGGGTCTGCCACAATTCAGTGAGAAAAACAGAAAAGGAACAGATGACAGTCTATGATTGCGCCTATCACTGGCTCTTGATTCCAATTCCTTATATTTCTTTTCAACTTAGCGTTTACCGTTTTTTAAGATATACTACCAGTGATGATCCTTGTAAAGGGAGATATAGGACAGAATTTAGGAAAGAATATCCCAAGCCTACTCTCTACCAGTGTGATCAGATCCTCCTCACCTGTGTTTGTTCCTCCTAGAGTGAACCCAGTAGCAGGTTTAGATCCAAAGAGCCCGGTTCCAAAACCACTTGAAGGAGCAGATGTAGTTGTTGGAGTTGCAGTACTTCCAAGAGTTCCAAAATTGAGCCCCACAGAAGGGTTGCTTATTTGAAAAAACAGAAACAAAACAAAAACCACAGGCACAAAAGGAAGTCTACTAGAGCCAATATTTACTTATGAAAAATAAAAATTACCTCTTCAAGATAATTTCATTCATGTAACATATCTAATACATTGTCATAGGACCCAAAAACAACAATAAATTTACCTTCAACCCACCAAGTTTAAGGAAGAACGGGTAGTTTCTGTTCTTCCTTAAAAATGAACCCACATGTAAAAGTCTTAAAAAATATAGTACCAGATTTCAAGAAAAGCAGTCTATAGCAATAAGGATTTCAGAACTCAAGGTAATCATAAGTAGAGATCACAATTATTCTTTCACCAATTTTTGAAACCTAGCATATTTTTAAATGGCCATAGGTATTCTAAGTTGTCTTCACTACCTCTCTGTTGCTACATTACCACATTCATGGAGCAATATGAGGTTGGGGAGAGCATATAGTTAGGTATCTTACCACCAAAAAAAGCAAAACAGAAAAACTAGTGGGGACATTTCCTGGCAAAAGTTAAACACAAAGCAAAATCATACTGTCTCGGGATTATGTGTTCAGTAGCAGAAAATCTTCAGAGAGTGTTAAAAAGCTTAAGAAAAGAACAGCTGATAAAAACAAGTGAATGTGAACAAAGTTCACAACTTTTCAACTGCTCTCATTAAGACTCAAAAGTTCAGATTTGCTATCTAAAGGTGGGAAGACAAATTGTGAAAATAAGTAAAAAATTTTGACAAGTTGACACTTCAAGAATTATGTAGAAGAGTTAAGGGAGCATAGCATAATGGGGAATCCTCTTTATCCTACATATTTACAGTTATTACTTCCCTGACTGTCCTTCCATAAAGAATAATCATGAGAGAACCCAATATCATTTTCAAAGTCTCAAAAACCCTGGAACGTTTCAATGAAAGAGGAAATGTAAGAGGAACCCAGTAGTGTGGCTGGGTTCCAGTACCAATTCCCCCATGTTCTGGTATTTGGATGCCATTCCTTAACCTTTCTGAACCTCTATTTCCTCATTTGCAAAATGGAAATTAATAGTACCCGCTTAGCAGAATTTTTTAAATATTAATATTAAATTAATTAATAAAAGGGTTAAGGAACTGCACAGGGTGAATTAACTTCAGTAAATGTTGTTATGACTGTTATCGTTAGGGATACTTATAAATTCAACTAAACATATTATGTACAAGGCGTTATGCCAGGAATAGCGAGGGAGCAGAAAGATGACTAAACCCTTACTTAAGGAACACGCCATTTACTGGGGGATAAACAACACAAATAACTGTACTCCAAGCCATAAGAGTTCTCCAAGTTACTTGGGTCTGGGGGTCTTCAATTTCATAATCAGCCCGAAAAGCCACTCAGGTTTTTGCAAACAATGGGGGACAAGGGAGAAGGAAATATTCAAGCAGTAGAAATGTACACCTTCAGTAAGTTTATAATTACTATTAGGCAGATTATAATCAAGTACCAAATGATAGCAAAGAGATACTGCAGAAGTTTGAGGCAGAGCTAATCACTGAGATAAGAATGGAGACAGAGGAGCTTATTAAGGGATAGAACTTGAGATGGGCCATCCATACTGAGTAGGTAAAAGGAGAGGAAGTACTTAGTTTACCACTGATCTTTAAAATATGTTTGTGTGCACCAGAGAATTCGAAGTCGAGGCAGAAGGTAGAGCAGGGCTGCAAGATCTCACCAACAATTAAAACAGATCTTGGCCAAGCTGAGTGGTTCATGCCTGTAATCCCAGCACTTTGGGAGGCTGAGGTGGGCAGACTGCTTGAGCCCAGGAGCTTGAGACCAGCCTGGGCAACATGATGAAACTGTCTCTATGGAAAAAAACTAGAAAATACCCCGAAAAACAAAAATTAGCCAGGCGTGCTGCTACATGCCTGTAATCTCAGCTACTCAGGAAGCTGAGATGTAAGGATCACTTTAGCCCACAAGGTGGAGGTTGTAGTGAGCTGAGATTGCGCCACAGCATTCCAGCCTGGGAGACAAAGAGAGGTCCTGTCTTAAAAAAAAAAACCAAAAAACAAAAAAACCCACAGATCTTTAAACATTTACTCTGAAATTATAAGGTATTTTTAAGAACATATTGCTACATTCAAAACTAAGTGAGATATCACACATACAAAAACCTAAGTGAGCACTACAAGCAAAAGAATACAGTATGTAATGGCTATATCCAGACAACATAGGTAGGACAACCATAAAAGAGGCATATATGCCAAAAACATTTAGCTTAGCTGGTGGTAGTCTGATTGCATTGTTATTTTGAAACTGTTCTGTGTACAATGTGGAATAGAATAAATGGCTATCTGGGGGATATTAAAACACTATTGGCAAATTTTGAAGACATATAATTAGGAAAATGGTTATTAAGCTTTCCTTATTCCCAAACAAATCAGTGATCTCATTTTTTTAAAATTGCTATTTTGGAAATATACAAAAGATGAAAAGTAAACATTTGTATTTTTACACCATGAATTAAAATCTAAAATTTCTTGACAACAGGCAGGGCATGGTGGCTGAGGTCGGGGGTCACCTGAGGTCGGGAGTTCCAGACCAGCCTGGCCAACATGGTAAAACTCCTGTCTCTACTAAACTTACACACCCCAAAAAAATTAGCTGGGTGTGGTGGCGTGCCTATAATCCCAGCTATTCGGGAGGCTAAGGTAGGAGAATCACTTGAACCCAGGAGGCAGAGGTTGCAGTGAGCACCACTGCACTCCAGGCAGGCTAGGTAACAAGAGTGAGACTGTCTCAAAAAAAAAACAATAATAATTGTATACATGTATAATTTCTTGACAACATAACTTGAAGATATTATGAAGTAATAATGGAAGTTGAAAATAACTTCATAACTTGAATATATTATGAAAAAATAATGGAAGTTGAAAATACTGCCAAAGAAACATATCAAAATGAAATCTTATTCTACCACAGAAGCAAAAGAGAAATTTACTAAATTCAAGAAAAACAAAAGCTACCCTAGACTTGACCAATTACCTCCTCAAACCAGTGTTATCTGCCAGGGACTTTATAGGATGTGCTGTAGAAAAGCCAGCTTGACTCCATCACATCAGGAATGTTATTTTAACTTGCCCAGCTGGCCCTAATGCAGACTTCATAGCTAACATAATAGCTAACATTTATTGAGCACTTAGCAAGTGCCAGACTTGATATTAAGTATTTAAATGCTTCATCTCACTCAGCAACTCAGGAAATATATTACACTCCTTTTCCAGATGTGAGAACTCCTCTAAAATGACTGACCTCAAGAGATCTAATCATCAGGTGGCACTGGGGGCTGTCAGGCCTCCCAACCAGCACTCTTAACAAATTTACGTCAGACTGTCTCCTCTTTAATTTATCCAAGCCTCTCCAAAGCTTGGGTCATTTTCTTCTAGCTTATTACTAGTAACTCATTTGCTCAGTCATTCAAATTGTTATTAAAGCCCCTTTTCTATGCCAGGCACTGTTCTTGGGACTGAGGATGAGGTGGTAAATAAGACTCTGACCCTGCCTGCAGGCAGCTTCTAGTCAGTGAGAGACATAGATATTAATTATTCTTGTGCTGGGATCTAACAAGTTAACATTAAATATAAAGAACTGATTACAATTGTGATTAGCACTGTAAGAGTACTAATGAGAATGGAAACCTCCCCTAGACTGACAGGTCAGTAAAGGCCTCTCTGGGGAAGAAATCATTTGACAGTCGCAAAAGATAAGTAGGCATAAGAACTAGGCATATGGCGTAGAAGGAAGGGGTTGGCAAAGCCCACTTGAGGAAAAGAGAAAATGCCATGTTGCTAGGGCAAGGTTTCTCATACTAAGATCAGGACCATGAGAGAAGTATAAAAATTAATTCATCAAGTTCTAAGAAACATTAAAAAAAAAAAAAAAAAAGAAAGAGAATAGAAAATATCAAAGTGCATCCAATGAAGTAAGGTAAGTGTCCCCCTCTGAAACTTTGTTTCAGTTATTTATTTGTCTGCAGGTACTGGTGTACTGGGTAGTAATATAGTTGTCTGTTTTTAAGAGTGAGTCTGGATAACTGAAATAAAAAGACCGGCTCCAGATGAGTCCCCAGAGGTTCCAGCAGAAGTGTACTTTGCAGACTATGGTAAGTTTGTTGTTGTTGTTGTTGTTGTTTTAACTTCATTCTAAGGATAGTGGGAAGTGATTACAGGGGGAGCAATTTGTCTTTTAATTATTCTGGCTACAATGTGGCAAAATGGATTGAAGACGTTGATAGGAGTAGCTGTCATCTAACACAAGACAGCTGGTTAAACATCTGAAAAGAATCAGAAGTATTTTCATAAGAATGTAAGGATCAAGAGAGCAAGACTCTCATGTTACTACGTAAAACTGAGCCTTGCACATGAGAATCTGTCCAATAAATATTTGTTCCAAGAATGACAATAGCTGAGCAGGGTGATGGAACTGGAAATAAAGACAAATGGAAATGGCAGAAGTAAAAAATTATTAGGATTTGATGTTGAGCGAGTAGAGTAAGAATAACGGAGGAATGGATGAAAACTCTCAAATGTCTGACTTGACTGTGTAGTCTGTGATTCCTCCTCTTTTTTTTTTTTTGAGACGGAGTTTCGTTCTCGTTGCCCAGGCTGGAGTGAAATGGTGCAATCTCCGCTCGACGCAGCGTCCGCCTCCCAGGTTCAAGCGATTCTCCTGCCTCAGCCTCCCCGCCCCATGTTGGTCAAGCTGGTCTCAACTCCTGACCTCAGGTGATCCGCTAACCTTGGCCTCCCAAAATACTGGGATTCCAGGCGTGAGCCACCTGAGCCACCCGGGGCAGCCTCCTCCCTCTTTAAACTGCAGGTCACGCTGAGGTTTTTGCCTTTTAAATCTACAGCCACATCTTTTAAGCTTCAGGAGATATTTTGTTGACAGTGTGCACACTTAACTTTATGAACCCCCCCACCTTTATCTTGAAAAAAATTGAGTTTTAAAGCTTAAATCTCTCATTAAAATGATGTCTCACCATTTTGTCTCTTTCTGGACAGTTACATTTTTGTCGCCACCTCAACAAATGGGTTGCACAAAAACGAGAAACATGCTACCTACATTTTGTAATTTAAGTGAAAGACAATGTTGAGTTATTAGGATACAACATTCTTTAGTCCAATATACTAAACTGCACATATTGCACAAAATCACCAATAAACACTGTAAAAAGGTGTTTTTGGTTTTTGTAAATGATAACAGATAAGGTCCCACGTGGCACAAAAGCTTGAAAGGCTGGTTATAAATAACTGCAAAGTTATTAAAACACCGTAATATCCAAAACCGCAAATGCTGCAATGAAATCGGAATTATCTATTACAAAACCCCACAATATGCTACAATTTCATTCATTCATTCAATGTTCATTCCATGCTTAAGACTGATGCCTCGCTAAAGCTCCGGGGTAGAGCCCCGGGCCTCTCCACCCAGCCAAGACCCCTCTAGGTCCAAACGATGCCTGAACTTTACATGGATTCCGGAAACCTCACAGCACAGAACCCATCCCGCCCTCTACCTCACCAGGCCGCGCTGGGCCCTGGCACCGCGGCGAGCGAGAGGCCTACGACGCCGGCGGCTAGATAAGTGTTACTCTCCAGCCCCACCGGGAAGGAAGCCAGCGGGAAGAGAGAGGATGGGGACGCCAGGAAGCTTCGAGGGGTCGGGGGAAAGGGAGATCCGGCCCAGGAAGGCGAGAAAGTGCGGTTACCTAGACGCTCCCGTCCCAAAAGAGAAACCGCCGCCTGTGCCGGTCCCGCCGGGGGCCACGGTAGTGGAGCCCAAAGTCCCGGACCCGAAGGAGAACCCCGTGGACATGTCTGCTCGGAGCTCGACGCCGTCAGCAAGATGAAAGGGGTCTGGGACACTTCTCTCGTCTCAAAGCCGAGGCGGGCCGGGCTGCATCTCTCTCGCCCGGCACCGACCTGGCGGGAACTTCAGCCCCAATGGTTGCGAAGGCGAGGCTGAGTGGGTGGAGCAACCACGCAAAAGCAGGGCGACGCTCGCCGCGTTCCCGTAGCCCGCCGGAAGTGAGCCCGCCGCGCAGGGAGTCCTGGGACAAAGGTAGGCGTAGGCGAGCTGCGCAAGGCACCCCGGGACCCGGCGGGATCGGCGCACAGCCTAATCTCTTAAAGGAGCAGGCTCTCAGAGTTTAAAAACAGACCATTTCTGTCATTTTTAGTTCTTCTATCTGACTGACATAATCTGCACTATAGGGTGTACTGACATAATCTGCACTATAGGGTGTACTGACATAATCTGCACTTTAGGGTGATGAGCGTCATTACTGCTTCTATTAGCCTTCTGCCAAAAATGATGCTCAAAATCACAGAATTGGGGAGGTCCCTCGAGAGCATCTCCAAGTTCCCCACACAGAAAAGAAGACGGCTTAGGGCTTTCGTTGGCTGCCGCCCCATCCCTGAGAAGGAAGAGGAGCGTGTCTGCTTCCTGAAAGTTCGGAAATCAATGGATAGTAATCCCTGCATCCGTCCCACGAAGTGAGCCCCACCCCTGCGCCGCAAGCCACTCGGACCCAGATGGACGCGGGTCAGGCGAGCCCGACGCGCAGCCCCGAAGGGGACCCAGAAGAGCGTCCCAGGTGTCCGTGGGGCGTCCGGCTGTGGTCCTGGCGCCCAGAAGTGACCAGGTCCCCTGGATCTCCTGGCCTGCGGTTAAGTCCACAAATACTGTCCGCGCATCCTGATGAGGGAGAGCGGGACCTGGGGCCGAGCGCGTGTGGCGCCCGCAGGAGGACGATGCGCGGCTCTAGGGCGCTCGGATACACGCTATGCTGGAGGAACTGCAAAGTGGAAGGTTTGGGAAACGCACAAAGATGTGCGATAGAAGGCGAAATGTAAGGGGTAACTTACATTTCTAGGCTATCTCGAGGAAAATTCTCGTTTAAAGAGAGACCCTCCAGCGAAGCATCCAGAAAGACTTCCTGGTGGTGGTACATTCAAGGATTGTCATCATAGTGTTAGTTTTTATATTTCCCTCAGGGATTGTTACATTACTGTCCCAAATGGTTGTCCTACTCGTGATCTCTAACAAAATCCATTCCATAAGCAACCCCCGGATTTATTTTCCTAAAACAATACCCACCACAACCCTGCCTTGATCTAAAAAGCCGAGTGGCTCTTTAGTCTGGCAGTTGATGTCGTCCATAAGATCAGTCTTTCTAACCTCGTCTCACAGCTCTCCTTAATTCAGTACTTTTCCTTGCGTTGAGCTTGGGCATTGCCATCAGCTTCGTACTGAACATATATCCCTCCTCCCCCAATCCGTCTGTTAAAGCCCTACCCCACCCCAATATGTTTGTATTTGGAGATGGAGCCTTTGGGAGGTAATTCAGTTTAGATAAGGTCACCCGGGTGGGTCTCCCATGGCAAGATTAGTGCCCTTATGAAAAAAAACAACAACAAAGAGCTTGTTCTTCTCTCTGTGCCATGTGAGGACAGAGCTAGAAGGGGCCTTCACCTGGAACCCAAACTGCCCCATCTTTATCTGGGACTTAGCCTCCGGAATTGTGAGAAGTAAATGTCTGTTTTTATAGCTACCTCAGTCTATGGTGTTTTATCAGCTAAGCAGACTAATATACCACCTCTGTATTTGTATAATTTAAAAAAATAAATATGTAACATTTTATTTTATTACTGTTTTAAATTTAATTTAACTTAATTTATAGTTGATTTTATTTTGTTCGCTCTGTTGCCCAGGCTGGAATACAGTGGTGCGATCTTGGCTCACTGCAACCTCCATCTCCTGAGTTCAAGTGATTCTCCTGCCTCAGCCTCACAAGTAGTTGGGATCACAGGCACACACCACCACACCCAGTTAATTTCTGTATTTTTAGTAGAGATGGGGGTTTCACCATGTTGGCCAGGCTGGTCTCGAACTCTTGGCCTCAAGCAATCTGCCCACCTTGGCCTCCCAAAGTGCTGGGATTACAGGTGTGAGCCACCACACCTGGCCATAACATTCTAAATGTCATGTAGGTCATAATGGGAATGATAAAAAAGAAAACAGGGATATATTTGGACTAAGATATAAATAAAAACTTCATAGTTATTGAACAGGAGGCAAAAATAAAAGATTGTTGTGAGTTTTAAAACTTCAGTGTTACAGAGAATGCCATTTTCAGTGATGGCTATAGGGTGGCCAGTATGAGGATTGTTTACATAAAATCTAGGGGCTTCCTTTTGACTGAAAAAACAAAAGATCCACATGATTTTTATGGGAAGATAGAAAGATGCTCCCTAGGTCTTTTGATTTTCTCATATATTCTTTCCAAAACTTTTGAAGAATACCAACCTACAAATTAGTAATAGCAAAATGGCTGGCACTTAAATATATGCAATTGAACAAGACTTGTAATATTCACAGGAAGGAAATAGCATGTAAAAATACAGTAGGGACTAATATAAGATGTTTAGAATGGGGGAACTGGGTGTGAGGAATATGAGAACTCTCTCTTTGTAATAATTCTGTAAATCCATATCTTTTAAAGCTAAACATTTATAAAAGAAAGTAAGTCCGACTTAGGTTAAAGTTTGGGTTTGGGGGGAAGCCATTCCAATTAACAAGCAAACTATTCTTTCAACTTTTTTAATCAAAATTTTAGTGTAGCATTTCTTGCCCTGTATCTGGCAGAATAGCTTAAGTTATGCTATAGTAACAAATCCCCAAATCACTCAAGGAGGAGCACTGCAGAGACAAAACTGGAATGTCTGATGAGTACTATCGCAATCTACCACTAGGTGCACCAAGTATAAGACTAGACCTCAGAACCTTTCGCTTCTGTGGCCTCAGCCATGAGTATGCTCAGGCTTCAGAAGAGGCTCACCACTAGTGTCCTCCTCTGTGGCTAGAAGAAGGTCTGGTTAGACCCCAATGAGACCAATTAAATCGCCAATGCCAACTCCCATCAGCAGATCCAGAAGCTAATTAAAGATGGGCTGATCATCCACAAGCCTGTGATGGTCCATTCCTGAGCTCAATGCCAGAAAAATACCTTGGCCCACTGGAAGGGCAGGCACAGGGCATAAGTAAGCATAAGGGTACAACCAATGCCCAAATGCCAGAGAAGTTCACATGGATGAGGAGAATGAGGATTCTGCACCGGCTGCTCAGAAGATACTGGGAATCTAAGAAGATTGATCGCCACATGTATCACAGCCTCTACTTACAGGTGAAGGGGAATGTGTTCAAAAACAGCAGTTTCTCATTGAACACATCCATAGCTGAAGGCAGACAAGGCCCGCAAGAAGCTCTTGGCTGACCAGACTGAGGCCCGCAGGTCTAAGACCAAGGAAGCACACAGGCCAAGAAGGAGGAGATCATCAAGACTTTGTCCAAGAAGAAAGAGACCAAGAAATAAAAGCTCCCCCTTTGTACATACTGGCCTCTGTGATTACATAGATCAGCCATTAAAATAAAACAAGCCTTTGAAAAAAAAAAAGACTAGACCTCAGAGACCCCTTCTCATCTCATATACCTTGTATCAGTTGTTCTATTAGTGAAAAAAGAAATTACATCCTTACATTCCACAGAAATGGAACTCCACAGAAAGCAGTTCTCAATAAGATCAGTGGTTTGGTTAGTCAATTGACAACAGTAAAATAGCAGTAACCGAACTTTATGCCTACCTAAGCCTGAATCCTATCTCACTGAGCAGAACCATGGAGCACTGGAATCTGGCTCAACCTTTCTGACCTAGTCTAGTTAGAGTAACAAATCCTGTCCCAAAGGATCTTCCAAATATTACTCTTTTTAGCATTATAGGACTTGAACCCGTGTGTCACTTCTGTGTGAGTTGCTGTTTCCAAGGATGAAGCAAGTGCTTCAGATTCCAAATTCTACAGCAGGCCACTTTGTCTCTCCTTGCTTCTTCTATTGTAGTCATTCTGTTAGAGAACTCCATCTTTTGCTGATTTGCCAGCTGGATGATGACATTGTTAATGTCATAATCAAACGGAATTATCCAAACAGAAATAGCACTGTAAATAATTTATTTTCTGTTTTTTCTCCTTTTTGAGACAGGGTCTGGCTCTGCGCCCAGGCTGGAGTGCAGTGACACCATCTTGGCTCACTGCAACCTCTGTCTCTCTGGCTTAAGTGATCCTTCCACCTCAGCCTTCTGAGTAGCTAGGACTACATACAGGTGTGCACCCCCATGCCTGGCTAATTTGTTTATTTGTGAAGATGAGTTTTGCCATGTTACCCAGGCTAAAACTTCTCACTGTGTTTGCATTAATATATCTAAAATAGGTGATTGCTTTGGTGGGGGTGTTCAGATCAGGATAACCATCTGAAAACCTCTTTCGGCAGTGGTTCTAACACAGAAAGGAAGTGGGCATCTGAGGTCTATTGAAAGGAATCGGTAATATCTCCAGTTCTGGTTCTCTGAAATATCCAGAAGAGAGTTTATCTTTTAGAAATTACATGTAACCAGTTGCCTTCGATGACAGTCTTTATCTTGAAAATTATTCTCAGAAACGGTCTTAAATATTTTAGGGTTTTAAATATTTAAGTAGTGTCCTTCCACTTTAAAAATTTAAATTCTCAAGTGATTCAACAACAACAACCAAATGTATAAAGAGAGATAAATCAATAATGCAAGTTATACGATGACTCTCAAAACAAGGTATGTGGGTGTTTACTGCAGTAATTTTCTAACCTGTCGTAGGTTTGAAATTTTCAAACTAAAAAGTTAAGGGGGAAAAGCTTAAAGCTAAAACAGAAGTTCCCAATCACAGGTCAGAAGAGTAATTGTCTGTTTCCTGATAAATTTTTCACTCATTACCCAAGAAATGAAAAAAATAAATGTAAGGAGTTACCACAAAGCTAATTGTATCTTATTCAAATTATAGTCATTTATTTTGAAATACACCCTTACTATTGGTAAAGATGAGACCTGAAAAAGTTGCTTTCATGACTTGACAACTTTAGTGGATAAAGACAGAGAAGAGGAACTAAGCAATGCCAACATAAGATACATGATGGAAGCTATCTTCTGGCCACCAATATTTATTCTTTCCTTCCTTCTTCCTTAAAAC